GGCGTCAACAGCATCCACAGCAGCGCCGGGCGGCTGCGCTCGCGCTCGCTGTGCTCCGTGCGCTACGGGCGCACCCACCGCGGCGCCGAGACCCTGTGCTACGGGTGGCCGCAGCGCTCGCGCAGTCTCAAGCCGGTGCTCTACACCGACCTGGTGGTCAGCCGCCTGCAGAACCGCAAGAAGAAAAAGGCGGTGAGGGTGTTGGGGCCGTGGCCTACACCAGTGGGAAACGTGGGAGGGGGGGCTGCCGAAGGGGTGGTCTGAGCCAGGCACCCCAGGGACTGAGGGGGGAGCCCGGCAGGCACAGAGCTCATGGGCAAGGACAGCATGGATTTGGGGTGGGGGTACAGACTGGAACCCACCTTCCCAGGTGGGTCTCAACGTGATGGGTCTTTAGTGAAGAAGAGGGTCTTCTAGATGACATGGGACTTACTGATGGGATCCAGGGTGAGTCAAGCAATGGGTAGGTGCCAACAGGGGTCAGGGGTAGGGTTGAAATCTGGAGACCAGGGTTGCAGGTTGGTTGGGCCCACAGCGGCCACACAGCCTTGTGACTAGAGTGGAGGCGTGGAACACCGGTCCGAGCTGGGTTGTGTGTGTGTGTGTGCTCGCCTGGTGTGCTTGTGGGAGGACTAGCTAACCTTATGGCTGACCATAGTCGTGGGCAATGAGTCTCAGAGGTTGTAATGAACTGGAGGGCAGAGGGGGGCTATGTCCCATCACTGGGTAGGCGCCGACGTCACCACTGCACCCAGCACACACAGGGAGCATCACACGCCACACACTCAGCTCAACATGCACATGCTGGGGACACACCCACTCACAGACAGACTGACTGGTAGATGCGCCCCCACAGTTGGCAGTACTACTGGCTTGGACCCATGTTCCAGGCCACTCCCAAGAAGAGTCCCCTACACTATTCCTGGAACCTAGCCCCACCTGTAACCATGTCCAAGTCCCCCGGATATCCCCAGGCCAAGTGACTGGTTGTGGAGCACATAGGAGTTAAGGTGGAAGCTAAAATAACTGCCTTTTTGACTGACGCTCATGCCCCAGCCACCTAAAGGGTAGAAGTGAGGGGTGGGGGGGCTGAACCACGCTGGCGTAGAGAACTGGCTTGGAGAGGCCATCTGTGTTGATGGAGGGACTGATTTTATCCTGGGGATGGGAGCCAGGGCCGTGAATTCTCTTAGTAACCAAGGAGGGAGCTGTCAGAGTGAGGGCCTGTTCCTGGACCTCAGTTTCCCCACATGCTCCATGTGGGTTGATTCTGTAGAAACAGGCTCAGGTTCAGCTGGTGGTTCAAGGGAGGCATGCTTCTTGCTTATTCCTGCAGGGCTTCAAGTCTCTGGCCCAGGAGCCCGGCCAGCTGGCCAAATGAACAACAATGCTATCGATAGTAATAGTCACCGTCATTTCCTCTGCATCCGGCCTGTGCTTGACCTTCATTCAGCATTACAGTTTGTTCCCCCCTGTGGACACTGGCCCACAGGTCTGCTGCAAGAGTGGTGGAGCTGGGCCCGGCTGCCAGTGCTGTCTGCTCTAGAGCGCATGTGCCTGGCCGGTTCACCCCACTGCCACTATAGTTCTGTCCACTCTGCAGCTGGGAGCGGGCACTCTGAACCCTGGCACTGAGGCACAAGATGTCCCTCCACCTCTTTGGGACTGACCCAGCCTCCTGATTGCTTCCTCCTTCCAGGCCTTGTACAGCTCCATCAAGAATGAGAAGTTACAGTGGGCCATGTGAGTCCGGGCACCCTGGGGTGGAACGGGTTGGGCCAGGGACTGGCTAGCCTGGGAGGCAGGGAGCTGGGGTAGGCCTGGGAGGGGTTGGGGGTGGGGTGGCTCCATGAGAGGCAGTGAGGTTACCTCACTTCCTTCTTTGGAGATGACTGCCTGGACTTGGGGTTCTGCCTCTTGTCTCTAGCTGGGTTGTTATGACAGGCTGGCTTGGGGTGGGCGGCCACTGTCAGCTAGCCTGGGGGGCGGGATGCTGAAAGAAAAAGGGGAGGTCCCTTGGCAGTCCTGGTTGGGAAGAGCAGAAGCTCCTGGAGGTGGGGCGTTCTCAAAGGGAGCCCAGAGACTCAGAATCAATCTTGGGAGAGGCCAGTCTAAGAGAGCATCCCAGGCTGGGGGCAGCCTTCGTCTAAAAAGTTGATGGGTGCTCATATTTGAATCCAGATCTCAGGATTGGGGCTCAGGGGGAGGATCCTTGGATGATTGATGTGAAGAGTTGGAGTGGGGCGTGGGCACTTGGGAGGCTAAGTGTGGCGAGTAAACTAAGGTGGGCTGGAGAGACCTGGAAGAGGCAGGGCCTGCACTGGAGGGTGCAAAGGAAAGAGGCAGCCCTGGTGGGGTAAAGACTAAAAGGAGATGTAGGCTCTGTGTGCGAGGCAACAGGGAGCAACGGCGGGTTCTTGAGCAAGGGTGTGTCGAGATAGACTCCGATTTTGGGGGATGATGTTTGGCAGAGCCTGTAGGCCGGGGTTGGGATGGAGGGTGGTGGTGCATGGCATGCCGCTGAAAGTGAGTTCTCCCTTCTGCGTCGCCCTTTCGCCAACAAGCTATGAGCAAAGCCCGATGCTGGGTGTGACTGAGAACGCTGAGTCAGACCCACGGCTTGGTGGAGAGGGGGTGTGGGATGGAGGGGAGGGGACTGGTTAGGCCTGGGGAGGAGCGTGAACTCTAATCTCAGTTTTGATCTGAGGGAAGAGACTCCCTGCCGCTAGGGACGCTAGAACCGAGGGGAAACAGCTGGGCCCAGGGGAGCTGCAGTTGTGGAGGGAGACACCCCAGAGAGGCCGGCCCCGCCGCCGAGAGCCGTCCCCTCCCGCCAGCTCCACCGCAGGTGGAGGAGCCTCCCTGGGTGGGCAGAAGCCAGGGCTGAAGGGAGGTTGCGGCTTCATGGCCGACGCCTCTGAGGCCGTGGCACCTACAGAGACGAGGAGGAACTGCGGCGCTCTCTGTCCGAGTTGGCCGACCCCAACCCCAAAGTCATCAAGAGGGTCAGCGGGGGCAGTGGCAGCGGCTCCAGCCCTTTCCTGGACCTGACTCCCGAGCCGGGAGCCACGGTCTACAAGCACGGGCTCCTGGTGCGAAAGGTGCACGCGGACCCTGACTGCCGGAAGAGTAGGTGGCAGGGGCGGGGTCTGGAGGGTGGGTGGGAGTGGACCTGCCCCGGACCCCGCCCCTGACGGGCCTCCCTTCCCCGCAGCACCGCGGGGCAAGAGGGGCTGGAAGAACTTCCACTGCATCCTGAAGGGCATGATCCTCTACCTGCAGAAGGTGCGCGGCCAGGCCCAGGGGTCGGGATTGAGCTGGCAGCCTCAGTGCCGGCGGGGTGGGGCTGCGCTGGGCATGACTGCGGTCAGGACAAGAGGGGTACCGCTGCCCCCGACCCCGCAGGAGGAGTACCAGCCTGGGAAGGGCCTGTCGGAGACGGAGCTAAAGAACGCCATCAGCATCCACCACGCACTGGCCACGCGCGCCAGTGACTACAGCAAGCGGCCCCACGTCTTCTACCTGCGCACAGCCGACTGGAGGGTCTTCCTCTTCCAGGCCCCGTGAGCACCCACCTTGCACCCACCTTCTGCCCATCCTCCGCTCCTCTCCCTGGCACCCAGAATGCCCTGGTCCCTGCCAGGCTGCAATCTTCAGCCAGGTCCCAAGGGACTCTGCTGTCCTGCCAGGAGCCTGGAGCAGATGCAGTCCTGGATCACGCGTATCAACGTCGTAGCGGCCATGTTCTCTGCGCCCCCCTTCCCAGCGGCTGTTAGCTCCCAGAAGAAGTTCAGCCGCCCTCTGCTGCCCAGTGCTGCCACCCGACTCTCCCAGGTACTGCCAGCTCAGTCTACCTGGTGCAAACGGGGAGCAGTAGCACAGGCCTAGACCCAGTGCACGCAGTTTCTGTAGCTGTCCACTGCACAGGCCACCGGCCAGAGGTGGTTGGTGCTGAAATTCAGCCCCTACTCCACTTTGCAAGCTGTGACCCCCCCCCCCGAACCCCCCAAACACCGGTGCTCCCTCCTTCCCAAAGAAGGGGTGTCTTTAAAAAAAAAAAAAAACTTGCACAAAGGTACTGTCTGGGCGAGAGTGCCTCTGACAGTGGCCTCCCTGGCCGCTAGGAGGAGCAAGTGCGGACCCATGAGGCCAAGCTGAAGGCCATGGCCGGTGAGTTGCGGGAGCACCAGGCTGCACACCTGGGCAAGAAGGCCCGGGGCAAGGAGGCTGAGGAGCAGCAGCAGAAGGAGGCCTATCTGGAGTTTGAGGTGAGCCTCACTGCCCAGGCCCCTCTCTCCCTCAGCAGGGCCTCTGTGTCCCCTGCCAGGGCCTGGGATCTAGGAGTGAGACAAGCTGGGTGACAGTGGGCAGCTGTCTGAGACTCAGTCTCCCCTTGGAACAAAGATAATGTTCCAAACCCAGGAGAGCAATGACTGAGAGGAGGTGTTAGATGCACGGCCCCCCCCTCCCCCACAGCTTCCCTTCTTCCTGCACAGCAAGCCTCAGGTAACCTTCCCAGCTGTAGCTGGGAGTCAGCAGAGCTAAGAAGAAAAGGGTCGCTCCCCAACTCCAGGGGGTCATCTCCCAGCTTGCGGGGGTGGGGGGTAGGCCCTGAAGCTTCATGGTGGGCAAGACCTTTTCCTAGTCTTCTCTGGTGCCACTCAGTGGTCCAGGTGGCTGGGTGCGGGTGGGGGGGGAAGGGGGCGCAGCAGTCTCTCACAGCTGCCCCTCTGCCTCAGAAATCTCGCTATGGCACTTACGCGGCCCTGCTCCGGGTCAAGCTGAAGGCTGGCAGTGAGGAGCTGGACGTGGTAGAGGCAGCACTTGCTCAAGCCGGGAGCACTGAAGACGGAGTCCCCCACCCTCACTCTAGCCCCACCCTGCAGCCCAACACCTCCAGCCAGCCCCGTGCCCGTGCCCATGCCCATCGCCACCACGGCTCTGAGCCTCGGGCAGGGGCAGGCAGTGGGCGGCGGAAGTCCTGAGCCAGGGGTTGGAGTGTGGGAGGGGGGGTGTCCCAAGGGCACCTGCATGATGTGGCCCTGCCTGAGCCCGGGCAGGCCTCGGGCCACCCCAGAGGGTCTCTGGCCCAGGGCCCTACCGCGCCGGACGCGGTGTCCGGGGGCAGGGCAGGGCATGGGCCTTGGGAGCCTGGGCTAAGGACCCTCCCAAGACCACCCCCTTTTGTGATAATGTTTTGCACTTTTTCGTACAGGGTGGTGGTGGTGGGAAGGGTCAGGGCTCAGGGCCCCTGGACTTTTGAAGTCTTTTTTTTTTGCGGGGGTGTGTGGGGGGGATGAGGGCTGATGACGTTCTTGCTTTCTGCCGAGACTACCCCACTTGGACACCAGCAATCTCCCAGTGCCCTGGGGCCGGGCTCAGACCAGGCCAGAATTGGGCTAAGCTGGTTTCCTTCCTCCCTCCCCAAGGGCTCATTCTTCCCAGAGGTGGAGGAAAGGTGTCCAGGCCAAGGCCCCTGGCCCTCAAGGCCCCTGGCTGGTTCACCCCCTGGCCTGTGAGGCTCCTAGCCAGTGAGGCCCCTGACTGGTAAGGCCCCTGGCTGGCAAGGTCCTTGACTGTGGAGGTCCCTAAACAGAGAGGCCCTTAACTGGTGAGGCCCCTGAGCAGAGAGGCCCCTGGCCAGCTGGGCCCCTGTGTACAGGCTAGCAGCACTGGCTGGCTTGCCCTTCAACATTGGGCCCTGCCCTTTGTACAGCCTCCACCCCATTAAATCTGCTCTGGACTTGCTGGCCTGGACTCCTTCCTTCTCTCTAGTGCCTGATTTGGGACCAGGGTAAGCAGCTGGTTCTAGGGACAAGAGTCACATGAAAATTGCCATCAATTGGGGAGAGTACCAGGTCTCCCCCTTCCTATCAGAATCCTTTATTTGCCCCAGCTGAGCAGTGGCATGGGGTGTTAAATAAGAGTTGAAATAGGTGGGTATGCTGTACAGAGGGGACCCAGGAAAGGGGCTGGTAGGTGGGCAGCAGGTCAGTGCACCTGAGGCTGGGGATGCCCATGACAAAGTCCTCCCAGGGGCTCAGGTGGCGGACCCAGCTTCTCAGCCTCCTGTTCCACCGACTGGCTCCCATAAGCACTGTCCACCTTCACCTCTGTTGGGGGAGGGGGCGAAGGAACAGGGATCGTTAGGGCGTTAGACCTTCTCCCCCCAACCCCACCCGATCCAGACCTACCTCCCAGGCCAGAGCCTTTTACCTGTGCTGGGGAGCTTGTCTCGGGGCTCGGGACCCCTCAGCAGTCTCACGCCCTCCTCCAGGCCCATGTCGGACAGGGCGTCCAGCAGACCAGCCAGATCCCCTCCAGCCAGCTGAGGGGAGGGCAGAGGCCTGAGGTCAGCACTGTGGTCAGGGTGTGGGGCAACCTCAGGGGTTGGGAAAAGGCAGCTGGGGCTGGACAGGGCGGGGCCCACCTCGTAGCTACGCAGGAGGCTGCCGCTGGGTGAAGCCGTCTTGCGGTAGGTGTCCACCAGACTGCGAAGCCCCAGCCGCTCGGCCAGCTCAGCCCAGCTGCCCTGTGCTCCGGGCCCATCAAGCAGCTGCTCCAGGTTCTGCAGGGCGGTATCCCCCAGTGACAGCCCTGGCCCTGAGGGGACACACGGGGACCTATCAGGGACCTCTGAAATGAGCAGAAGCCCAGACACCTGGACACTCCCTTTCTTCCCTGGGATCAGGATGGACGAGGCAGAGGCAGGTGGGGGTCCTGGGGGCGATGGGGGAGGAGATCTCTGTGAGGAGTGGGGCACTGGATGGGGCAAGCTCACCTGCTGGGCTGGGTGGGGTCAAAGGGGGCTCTGTGGTGTTCTGAGCAGCGTTCAGCAGCAAGGTCCGCACCTGGGATGACAGCCTCAATTTTGACCACCTCCTGCCTGGCCTGAAAACATCCCCTGCCCTCAAACCACACCCAAAGACCTTGAGTCAATTCTGACCACAGCCACCCTATGTTAAGTATGAGACTCTAAATTGTTCCTGGAGCAGACAGCCTCGTCTTCATCCCTTGAGCAACTGGTGGGTTTGAACCGCAGACCTTGCAGTTGGCAACCCAGTGCCTAATCCTCAGTCCCCAGGGACCCTGAAATCCAGATGCCCTGGATGTTCTGCCCACAGCTGGTGCCCTGTACTTCTAGGCCCAGGTTGGCCTGACCTTGGTGCTCCGAGTGAGGTTAAGAGGTGTGTGGCCACGGAAGCTGCTCCGGGTTTCCCTCTCTGGCCCCTCAGAATCAGAGTCACTGCCCGAAGTGGGAGGCGAAGGCAGTGGGCACAGGGGCTCCTCGTTCTCCGCATGGATGTCAGCACCTGGGGGTGGACATGGTCAGAGAGAAGCATGCTCAGGCCTCTAGTAGGGATTGCAAACCAGAGGGCATCAGAGACCACCCCCTCCCGCCCCCTTCCTTGGCTCACATGCCCCCCCCTCCGAGGGTAGGTGAGACTGACCGGCCTTTAGAAGCAAGCGGGTAAGGGTCGGGGACCCCAGGCCAGCTGCCAGGTGTAGGGGGGTGTTTCCCGCAAAGGTACGGGCGTTCACGTTCGCACCAAGCTGTGGAGCACAAGGGAAAGGTTCATCACAAGGTAGCCCTTTGGCTGCCACCCCTCACCCCTCAGCTGCATCCCTGTTGCAGGGCCTTCTATAAGGCCCCACCCCACCCACAGTGCTCAGCCTCACCCTCTCAGAGTGCTGCTCTGCCCTACCTTGGTGACTAGATGGGTGACCAGCCCCAGTTCCTCCATCTCCGTGGCTAGATGCAGGGCTGTCCGGCCCCCCTGCCGCTCTGCAGCCTCCACCTCGGCCCCGCTGCCCACCAGCAGATCCAGGCATTCGGGGCTGCGGGAACGGACTGCCAGGTGGACCGGGTAGAGGCCTGGGGGTGCACAACATTCACCAGCAGCTGTGACTCCAAGTTGGTCCCAGACAGGGCGACCTTGACGTTTCATACCCACCAGGAACACCCACTGGATCCCCTTCCTTGGCTCTGCCCACATGACATGGGGACTCACCCTCAAAGTCGGCTGTGTGCAGCAGCTGGAGCATGGCAGGCCCCCCGTTGCGCAGCAGTGTGTGCAGCAGGTCGGGAGCCCCAGCCCGCAGTGCTAGGTGCACGGCCGAGTCTCCGTGCCTGTCCAGCAGCGCAGGGTCTGCACCCACCTGCAGCAGGAAGCTCACCACGCTCACCTGCCCCGTGATCACCGCCAGGTGCAAGGGAGTCTGGGGGTGCAGGCAGGGGTGAGCCAGGCCTGGCCCTGACTGTCACCCTCCAGCCTCTGCCCCCTGCCCAGTGGGTGCCTCCTCACCTGGTGCAGGTGGTTGGTGAGATTGACGACACCGAGATGCGGGGCATGGTAGATGACATGGGCTATCTGCTCTATGACACTGGTCTGCCCGTGGATGATGGCCAGGTGCAGTGGTCTGGGGGTGGGGTGGGGCGGGGCGGGGGTGAGCCTCAGGCCCAGCCCTCTACCCTCCACGGATCTCCTTCCAACACCTCCTTCGGTGGGGAACTGTCCACCCAGACCGCTGCCATTGCTGTCCCCGAGCTTAACCCTTCTGGGCACCTTTTGAGGTGGGCAGATAATTTTACTACGCTCTTTCAGAAGAGTCCACAAATCTCAAGCCGGGAGAGATGAATTAGCTACCTTGAATCGAACTAGCAAACATACAGGCGGGACGTGAACCTTGCTTTGTGCAAACCACGAGTCGGGGCTCCAGGACCTCCCTCCCCTAACCAGCCAGCCCGGCCTTCCGCGGCCGGACCCGTGCCCGCCCCGCCCCGCGCCGCCCGCAGGAGCCTACGTGTCTCCGTTCTCATCCTGGGCCGTCAGCAGGTGGCGCTGTCCCGCCAGCAGCGAGCGCGCGTCGGCCGTGACGCCGTAGTCCAGCAAGGCTCGGGCGCTGCGCTGCGCCAGGCCAAACAAGCGCACGTTGTACTCGCGGGCTGGGGACGACAGCGGGCGTGGGTGCGGGCCGCGGGCGGCCCCCACCCTAGTGTCCGCACTGCCAGGGTTCGGACTTGGGAGGCCGTACCTCGTGCCAGCATCTCTGGGTTGGGCGGCTCGCGCAGGGGCGCGCTCGGCTCCATCGCTTCCTCTCCAGTGGCGTGAACGCCGGGCGTAGAGGCCGCCATCTGCGCCCCGCCCCCGCCTCCTGGGTAGCAGCCCATTGGGGCCACGCTGGACTGGTAGGGGCTGTAGGCCAAGGAGGAGGGGAAAAAGCCGAGGCTGCCACCTGTGGGTACAGGCGGGGCAGTGGGGAAGGGGCACAGTCCGGGCTCCCCGGCTGGCTCCCCCATCAGCTCACCTCTTCGCCTCTCCCTCCCCTGCCAGCAGCACCTCCTCACCTCCTCCTCCAGCTCCTCCATAACCCCCAGCGGAGCCTCCAGAACCCCCACCCATGTGGGAGCCGCCCCCGAAGGGCTGGGAGAAGGTGGGCAAGGCCTTTCTCCGCTTCCGCTGCACCTCTTCCTTGTCTGCGGACAGAGGGAAGAAGATGTCAACTCAGAGGCCGACTCCCCTGAACCCTTCACCCAGCCTGGTGAGGGGCTCAATTGGGTCCCTCAGGCCGACCCCTCCCCACAACCGACTTGGCCCATGGGTCCCCTTCAGCCCAGCCCCAGTCCCCCAAGCCCCATGGGTCCTTCCGGTGGGCTTCACCTTCCACTAGAGGGTAATATGTGAACTGTTTGGAGTCTGAGACATCCCCTCCGCGTTTGCGTTTTAGTTGCAGGAACACGGTGACAGGACGCTCGATCTTCATCTTGTGGTAGGGAGGTGTCCGGAACACAATGGCATACTGGAACACGGAAGAGACACATGGGTGTCAGTGGGGCCTTCCGGGCCTTCACCCAACTCCGCCCTGTGCCCGGCCCCAGCACGGCCCCTGGGTACCTGCTTGTGAACATCAGTGGGAGAGAAGTCCCCAAAGGCCTGCCAGCCATTCTCATCATCCTCGTAGAAACGAACCTCAATGTCATCTAGGGAGAGAACTAAGGAGCCCTGGCCTCCAATCTTGAAGCCCAGTGCCCCTACCTCCCTGCCCGGGCACCCGCCTCACCTTTCTGCACCTTGTCACAAAGCAGATAAACTTCATCTCCACCCCGCACAGAGCCAGCTGTCTTGTCCATTCTTGAAATCTTCAGATTCGAGGCCCCAGGGGACTCTAGAGGACGGTGTCGATGGGTTTGAGGTGACAGAATACTACAACCCCATTTGTGGGGGACAGGGATTTTATATTCTTTTAAGTCAGGTGCGGAACGTCTGGCCAGTGGGCAGTATGAGGCCCAAGAAATCATCAATACCAGCTAACATCACAGGTTTCACCAAAGAGAAGCTGTCCTAGCCATCACTTGTGAGGGGTGAGTTAACTAAATGGTTGACCAGTATAGCCCACGAATGATGTTATACATTCCCACGTGGCTCTTGGCCGGAAAAAAGGTTTCCCACCCCTGCATCTCCAAGTACCAAAGACTAAAGGCTACACAGGAGAAATGACTTTTTCACCATCATGCAGCTTGTATGTGTCAGGGCCAGGTTGAAATCCAGCATTCAAACCTGGAGGTTGGAGGCTGCCCTTATGTCCCTTGGCCACCCAGGCCAGGCCCCTCGGGTGCCCAGAAAACTCACTGCTGTCGTGGATGGGGTGGGAGATAACTGGCTTCAGGGGCAGGGAGAAGGAGCCGTCGCTGGCTCGGAGGAAAGCAGAGAAGCGCAGGCGTACAATACTCAGATCCATCACCTTCTTCAGCTCCTTGGCCTCCTGCTCCAGCTCCCGCCGCTCAGCATCTGGGGCATGGACACATGTGTAACTCCTGGCCTCTTCCATGTTTGTTCCTCCACATCCACCTGCCATTACTCCCTTGTCCCCCTTCTTACCCGAAAGGCCCTGGGGCCTGGAGCGGAGTCGCTGCCTCTGAAGTTTCTGTGTCATAATCTCCATCATATTCTTTTTGGTCACATGCAAGACTCCCAGGTTGTTAAACCTAGGTAGGGCAGGGGAGGGAGCCAGAGGCCTTTGCCCATGCAGTTTCTTCCTCCTAAAGCTCCCTCCCCATGGCCGAGGCTCTGCTTAGCTCAGTCCTACTTCCCTCAGGAAGCTTGCCTCCTAGTTCCCTGCACCTTCCAGCTCTGGGGCCCACCTAGGTCTCTCCTCTGGGTCAGATACTAAGCTCCTCGGAGTTGGATAGGATCCAAGGACTGGGGGGCAGGGAGGGGGCACACCAGTGGGGGCCAGGGGTAAAGGGCACCTACTGGGCAGTCATGTCCTTGGGCCCCACAGACACAGTGCAGACCCCTAGCTCCGAGCATTGCTTCCCCACAAGGCTGTGGGCGTGAGCGCGAGGCGGGTCGCTGTGTGTTACCAGGTCCACTTCAATCTTGGCCGGCCCCTCATAGTTACAGATCTGGCAGGGGTAAGAGCCATTGGTCAGGCACCTGGACATACTGTCCGCTCACCACCCTCCAGCAGCTGCTGGGCTCACCTTGACTGTAGGATAGGTCTTCCGGCCCTTCTCACTGGAGGCACCTGGCAGTCCCCCATGGGAAGGACCTTCACAGCCATAGCGAAATCGGAAGCCTCGCTGCAGTTCCAAGGGCAGAGTGACACTGTGACCACCCCAGCCAGCCACACCCCTGGCCAGAACCACATAACACCACGGTGACCAGTAACAGTCACCCATCCCATCCTGCAGTAGGCTCCAGCTACAGTACCCACGCATCCCGCCCCCCTATACCTTCTGCTCGCTCACCTGCTTAGGCTGCTCCACAATCACCAGGTAGGGTGGGCCATCAGCTGGGGACAGAGGGATCTCACTGAACTAGGCTCTACCAGCCCCTCCCCCAGGCCAAGGCCACATGGCTCGCGCTCCCCCGCCCCCCCAACTCCCTCTCCAGGGGCTTGCTCACCTGTCCCTGGGGCTGGCCCCTTGGGCCCCACAATAGAGGGACTGAATTTGAAATCATACTCAATGCCATCCAGTGCCTGATTTGGAGATAGACGGGGGAGGAGGGCAATTTTGAACCCCTCTGCCTCTCAGCTTTGAACCCTCCAAAACCACTCCCCATCCTTCCCAGGCCCCAGAGAAAGCTCCCTTGGAAACACAGTTTGCAGGCAGGCAGGCAGAGGATGGCCTGGAGGGGCCCTCGCTGGGCCAGGAGCTCTGGAGCAGGGAGGATGGAGCAGGCAGCACACGGACGGCGGGAAGGTGAAGTTCATAGGGAAGAGAGGTGCCCGAAAAGCGCAAGCCGAGTGGAAGGGAGGGAAGCAGCCGCTGGTCTCGGGGAGAGGGTGGTGGAGGAGGGGGCAGGCGGTGTCACTCACTGGGTCGTAGCAACTGTCCATTTCTCTGGGCTGGGCCCGGATCGTCTACGGCTCCAGCCGGCTTCTGCTTCCTAGTGTTTCAGGTGCTCGCCGTGGGGGGAGGCGGGCAGCGGGAGAGAGACGGATCAGACCGAGGGGCGGGCGGGTGAGGGGGCCCCCAGCTTTGGGGGGAGGGTCCGATATCCCCCCCAGCCGTCCCTCCGGAGTGTGGCCGGCAAGATCCGGTGGAGGGCGAGATCCGGAGCTGGGCTGGGCCGGGGAAGGGACAGGAAAGTTAGAGCAGCTCAGGAAAGTCCCGAAAATACCAGGGGGAGGCGGGGCCGGAGGGGGCGGGCCTGGAAATGACGCCACTGGCCCCGCCCACGCGGCGGGAGGGGCACGAGGCCCGGGCTCAGGCCGGCTGGTGGGCGTGGCTGCCTTTGGGCTGGGGGGCGACGAGAACCAGGGACGCCCTCCAGGGCAGGCGCCAGGGCAGGAGGGTCTCTCGCCGTCAGAGAGGCTCCCAGACCGGGCCAGGCCCGCCTCTCGTCCCCCTCCCCCCCCCCCCCCCGGAACAACCTCGGGATTTTCTGCCTGGAGGGAGGCCACGGCTGATTCACCCCGGGGGCTTTTGGGGGGACATTCCTGCTGCCGGGAGGCCTCCTCGCTAAACAGTCTGTAGGCGGGGTTCTTCCCAGCTGGGGGGCCGGGGTTCTGCTCCGGAGAACGGAATTGGGGACCACGGGCGGGAAGTGTCCCCTAGCTGGGGCAGGTTCCTCTTCCCTGTCTCTGAAACGTCTGCAACGGCCGCTGATTTCCACATCACTCCGACTTTGGATGCTGAGACCGGCAGACCCCTGTAGCCTCCTCCCCCGGGCCCACAGCGTGTATTACCCACGTGTGTCACCATCACAGATCTACAAGTGTGTTTCGAACCGTGTGTCTGGGTGCAAGTGCGACCGCACAGCGTCAACGTGCGTGTGCAGGCGAACGTCCCTAAGCTGCTCAGGGTGGGTACGTGTCTGAGCGTGTCTTGCTGTGAAAGGGCGCGGGTGAGCATGACTGAACTGGTGCGTGAAGGGTGTGGGTCCAGGCACCCGCGGCAGGGGAGTGCGTCTGCATGTGCCCAACGGTGTAGGCATTCGTGTCAGTGGTGGTCCAGATCCGCGTGTCGACGTGCGAGGTTGCCGCTGTGTGCCCGTGTGTCTGGTTCGTGTGGGGGCTCTAGGGGTGCGCATCTCTCCAGCCCCGGGGTTCGGTCAGTTAGAGGCCCTCCTCCCGTCCTTCCTCGCGTTCCAGTCACCCAAGTTCTAAGTTCGGCCACTCACCGTGGCGGCGCCTTCGATTCCCGCTCCTCTCTCGGGCCGACCCGCCGAGGACCGGGGGGTGACACTGCCCCAGCCGCCCTGGCTCCGGCCGGGAAAGTCCCTTTTCCGCCCCCCACAGGGGGGAATTCCCGTGACGTTTCTGTAAGTCCCGTGTCATGCCCCTTTTCATTGGTTGAAAGTTTAATTCTCGAACTTGCACGTCCAATCGCAAGCGACCCAGGAGCGCCTCTTAGAGGGCAAAGCTGGGCGGGCGGGGAGGACCGGCTGGGGATGACCCTCGCCCGGCCTGGGCTCAGGCCGGCGCTCAGCCCTAGGCGGGACGCGTTGGCTGCGCACCAGCCCCAGCTCCGACCCCGGCCCACGGCCGGCCCCGGTCGCCTCGCCCGCCCAAGCCTGCCTCGGCTACCTCTGCAGTCGGGGAACCCCAGGGGGAGGCTGCTGGTCTCCGTTCTGGTCTCCCGCCCTGAGCCGGGCCCCGCTTCCGGAAAGAAATCCAAAAAGCCCATTGCCGACGTGTGATTCCGAAGAGGGCAGAGTTGATCGAGCGGTCGGGCCCGGGACGCCACCTAGCGGCCTCTCTGGGCACCGGCGCCAAAAGACGTCTCCGTAACCTCCTCTCCTCTCCGGTCTCTCCTCTCCTTCCCTCCCCTCCCCCTCTCCTCTCCCTCTGGCTCTCCTCTCCTCCTCTCCTCTCCGTTTACTTCAGTCTCTGGCCTAGAGCTGGGGAAAGAGACCAGCTGGATATCAAACTTACTTAAAATGGAAGGTTCACAGGGGCCCGGGCTTTCAGTTCTGCACGCAGGAAAGGAAAACAGGAGACTGGTCTTGTGCGTCCACCACGATTTGGAATATTATCATTGAAAAGGCATCTAGAGTCTGAGTAGTTTCAATTTCTTCCGATGCAGGAAATCACTTTTTCATCCTTCTCTCCTTCTGCCCCATGTAGTGGTGGGGGGTGAGGGTGGGGCACATAACATCCACAATAAACCAAACTGCCATGGAGTTTCCATTTTGACTCCTAACGACCGACCCAATAGAGTTTCCCCAGACGCAATGCTTCCGGAGCAAAGGTTCTCATCTTTCTCCTGGGAAATGGCTGGTGGTTTTGAACCACCAATCTTGCAATTAACGTTTGGTGATGTGAACACAGGACTGGAGACCGCACTCCCAGGTGAGCACTCTGCCCAGCCGGGATTGGCTGTTGCCCCTTTCTCTGCTAAGCCTGCAACAGGGAAGGGCAGCTTGCCTGTGAGAAATGCAACGGCGTGGGGGTGGGGCAGAAGACAGTGGACAAGGACTGGGGTACCCAGGGAACATACTTTTTCATGGACACCCTTTGGGACTGCACCAGACAAAACCAGTGTACTAGCCTTGGGAGTCAGATTAGGAGCTGAATGGGAGTTTGTGCCTGGCCCCACATCGCTGCAGGCCAGTGGCTTCCAGGTCCCGTGCAGCTGCTGGATAACAGTAGGGTACTGACCTCAAGACAGACCACCTAAGTTCCCGCCCCCGGACATACATGCCATGGGACGTTGCCTGAACGAAGGTTGAGAAATGCATATCTACAGATTGCGTGTTGGTTGGTGGTAAGTAGGTTTGTGAAAACAACAGGTAAAGGTTTTCAATACAGTGGTCGGGAGAAAAAAGACGAATGAGGTAGCATTTGAGCAGAATTTCAAAAAGTGGAGGTGGGAGCCATATAGATATCAGGGGAAGAGGGAAGTGCATTCCAGGCAATGAAGCAGCTTGGGTCAAGGACAAATAGGAATGAACAGGTTTGACTTATTGGAGGCCCAGCAAGGAGGCCTGGAAGGTGGAATGAAGTCAGAATGTTCTTTCGTTCTGAATGAGATGGCAAGTCACTGGAAGATCTCATGCAGTGGTATTAAAATGATGTGGCATTTTATATATATATAACCTTTTAAAGTAATAAGGTAGGTGAAGGTTTACAGAGCAGACCATCAGTTTTACATTCAATGAATTCATACACCTTTTGTTTCAGCTCATCCATTGAAATCTCTCAATGTACCATTCCTTACCCCACTTCTTCCCCCATGTTTCCTGTTTCCACTCCACCTCGTAAGTACTCTGTCCTTGGATAAGTGCTGTCATTTTGACCTTAAATGGTTGATTATTCTAACCCAGGGGCGAGTTCAGTTCCAGTCCTTAAGTGGGACTAAGGGCCGTAGTCTTGGGGTTCCACCAATCTGTATCTGGCTGATAAGCCCCATCTCTTCGATAATTGTGAGTTTTGTTCCACATTTTCCTCTCTACTCTATCTGGGACCTTTTCCAAGCAGTTGGTAGTGGTAGCTGTCCACCACGTAGTCCTCCTGGTCTCAAGACTGTGCAAACTGGAGTGTGTCTCCGTGGTCTACTGGATGAGCGTTTCCATATATCTTTTGAAGGTTCGTTTTGCCTGCTGTGTGGAGAACAGTGTATAGTGGACGTGGACGAACAAGGAAGATGGTTTGGATGGGGAGAAGTGGTCAGCCTCTAAAAAACAAACAAGAACTGCTGAAGGTTTAGACGCAGATAGTAAAAAGAATCTGGAAGCTTGGAACAGTCCCTGGCTAGTCCAGGGCAGAACGGAGGAGGCTCAATTTGTAGCGGCCATCAGTGTTCTCGCCTGATGTTTGTTACATCTGAGTGCCTATGAGGCAAGAAGTGGGCATGTTCAGGGGCAGGTGGCTGTGAATGAGTCCGGGGTGGGGAGGAGAGGTCAGGCTGGAGGTGACAAGCTGGGATTTGGATACTGGTAGTCAAGTCCTGGCAGTGGATGAGATTCCCCAGCAAGGGTGGAGGAGGGTCTGCTGCTGAGCCCCGGGGCACTCTCATGATCAGCGGCCAGAAGGTGAACAGGCACCCACAAGGGAAATGGAAAGGCGTGTTCAGTGAGGTGGAGGAAAATGAGCAGCCAAGTGAAGGCTATTTCCAGGAAGGGGTGGTCAACTGCTTATTTGAACTAAAGATCTCTCTAAAGAAAATGAAAAGATCTCTCAATCCCTTTCCTCCTATGGGAGCAAATACCTTTACCGAGTGGTTGAAGATTGCTCTTAACATTGCAACACAAAGGTTTCTCTGAGACACGTCTGTTCTCCACAGAGGGTCCTAGGTCACTGAGCCGTCTCTTGCTTGCCTCTTTGGACTCTGTTCTGGGGTCCTGCTGGGGGCTATGACTCAGACAGCATGGCCCTCTGAAGACACTATCACTTTCCCTCCAGGCTTCTGTCACTTCCACACCACCCACTCATTCTTCCTTGTTGGTCAGAATTAAGGTCTGAGTATTAGTTCCTCTTGTAGCTTCCTCTGCCTTCTAAGACACAACATTGTCAATAGCACAAGTCACACATGCGTCACCAGTGGCTCTTTTTGTAACAGAATGAGACTTCTGGCCAGTGTTTTTCTTTGCTACCCAGCAGGGAGACTGCCAGCTTGCCACTTCTCCAGTTTCTTTCCTAGTTTTTGCAGACCAGCTGCAGGTTGGAGACTTGTTATATCCCTCTGGTCAGAGCTTGGTGTTTGCAGTCGCCAACCCTGTTCTCGGAGGGGAAACACACCTGACAGCGTCTAAAGCAGAGACCCCACAGCTGAGGCCAAAGCCCCTCGTGTCCTCTCCACTCTCCTTCCCAGGGAGGAGGAGCCACACAAAGCTGCCGCTGGTGTGGAAACTGCCCGAGGAAGGAGGGAGGGAGTCTGTTCCTTCTGAGTTTGGGACCAAAGTAAATGTCTTCTGCCCCCAAACGCAAGATCATAGCTATGACCAAGAGGCCTCTTTCCTAAGCCCCCTGGGCCTGGCTTCTTGGACTATGAGGCTTATCACAGGGAAGCCTTCTGAGCGACCACAGCTCAACTCCGACTCCTCTTCCCTCTGACCCTGGTCTAGGTGGTCTCATGTGGCTTCCTTAGAGCAAATTTGGAGGGGCAAGTTGTCCACGCCCCTGGCACACAGGTGACGCGGGTGCTGTGCTGGTGGTAGGGAAGGCAGCATTGGTGCATGAAGGAGTTCTGATGTCAGTCCTGACATGCGGCTGATGGCCAGGAACCACGGGGCCAGCCCACTGGCAGGCTCAGCCTCACTCTACCTCTGCTCCTCCAGGCCCAAACCCTGGGCATCCCAAGGACACGACACGCTGAGCCACAAGCTTAGGAAGAAAACGGGAGAGAATGGTAGTGGTATTGGTACTAAGACCTTTATTACATCATAAAAAGTCCATAGTTGTCCTGTTTGTCCATATGTACAAGCTCCTGTGGGCTGTCCCCTGCCCAGCCCCACCTGTCCACTCACCATGGTGCCAGTCAACACTCCAAACTGACCCGCTAACTAATAAAAGAAAAGAAACTGTAGGTGGCGGCCCAGGGCTGATGGGAGAAGGTAACAAAGTGCTGAGTGGTGGGCGTGGCTCTCATTGCCTTGATGGGGCAGGAGGGGCACATGGGCACCAGAGGGTTGGCACAGTGATGCCTGCCCAGAGCTGCCAGGCTAGTGGCAAAGGCTGCAGATGATACCCGAGGGGGTGCTCTCAGGTCGGGCCCCTTGGAAGGGGCAGCAGACGCGGAAGGATGTCCTGCAGTCTGATTGTGGGTCCCAGGAGTGGCTGTCAGCTTTCCTTCTCAGGCCCCCATCCAAGTAGCAGCAGGCTGAGCCAGTAGAGTTTGTGGCTCCTGGGACAGCTCAGGGTGGGGGTGTGGGGACAGCTGGGTAGGAAATCCTGGTCTTGCTGTCTGCCTTAGTTGACTTCGGGGGTGGGCATGGGGTCTGTGGGGCGGGGTGTGGCCAGAAGGGGCACTGGTGAGGTGGCCTCAATGAGCGCTGGGTTGAGGATGATAGGCAGAGTCATGGGGGGCACGCCCACCTGTAGTGGGGAGGCCAAGGGCTGCAGGATCAGCGGGGGCTGAGCCAGGGGTGGGGGTCCTTCTGGGGTTGGGCTCAGCCTGCTGGGACTAGAGGCTGCTGGTGAGCCAGGGGAGCTGTTACTGGTGGCTCGGGGGATTTCCGGCTTCTCAGAGTCTGTGGGGAGAGGACAGGGGCTGCAGTCAGACGCCCTTGCCGGCCATTGTCCTTTTCTCCTCCCCACCCTGGGAGCCAGTGACTCGACCCAGGCTGAAGAGCTGGGGGATCTCAAAACTCATTCCACGGTCCCACCCATCTTAGGTCTGTCTCCCCTCTTCTGCTGTACACCCCTGGTCGTCATCAGGCTGCGCTTTCCTAGAATTCCTTAAGGGAAACCTCTGCATCTTTATTCCAAGTCCCAGTCCCGGCCTTTCCCTCCCAAGCCTGAAACATCTCAAGAAACTTCGATCATCACGGCTTGCTTGGGCCTGCCATTTTCCACAGGAGGAATCGGCGAGCAGGGTCCTCTGCTTAGTCTTTGCCCTGGCCCTGCTCAGCAACAACCCCAAGCTACCCTGGGCCTCCTTTCAGGCCCCCTGCTTCCTGCCTGACATCCACAGGGACTCACCAGACGCTCCCAACTCAGAGGGCATCTCTGGGGGAGGTGGATGGCCAGAGGTCCTGGTGTCCCCAGCAGCAGGAATCGGGTGGGCCTGAGGTTCCACAGGCACAGGGTCTGGGGAGGGGGAGATCCAGATGGCAGCGTCCAGTGTTTTCTTTCCAGTGGACCCTTTGCTTCCCACCAGGCTTCCCACCCACCCAGGCTTAAGAAAAACTCAAGCTTTGTGAGTTGTTCAGGAGGAAGCTAGGCTGAGTGCCCTACCCTGTATAACAGTCTGCTTGAAGAGCTCATCTCGTAGGTGGGGCAGGAAACAGTCAATGCGCTCCCACGTGATCTCCCAGAGGGCTGAAGGGCTACCGCCGCGTGCATCTGTGCTGTGGAAGATCTCTGCTGTGTCCATCACCAGGAGCATGTTCTTCAGAGACTCTGGGATGGCCTCTGACTACGGGGAAGAGGGACCATGGGACTAGGAAAAGGGGCCGCAGGGTCACTCGAGAGTATGATAAAGGAGAGGGAGCCACTCAGGGAGCAGAAGCAGGAGCCTTCCCAGCAGGTGGGAAGTGGCTGCAGTCAGACAGGTCCCGAGGAGAGTGGACACGAGGGTGGAACATACCAGCAAGTCACTGGAGCCTGCGTGCATATACTTGTCCATGAAGTCCAGGATGGTCAGCCAGAGGGCCGCAAAGGTAGAGAGTGACAGCAGTGGAGACAGGTGCTGCAGGAAGACCTACGGCCCACCAACCCTTTTAGCTGGGGCAGCGAGGGAGCTTTCGGCACCCTCTGCAAGCTGGGGACACAAACCTTCCCTATCGTGCACGGGCCTCTCAGAGCTTCTTCTGAGATCCCCAATCCTCCTGGGTATCTATAGCTGAGGGACCTGAGCACCTACGCTACATCCCTATGTCCTACACCCAGAAGCCCTTGCTTCCTTTATCAGGAAGAGGCAGGTGTGAGCAGCAGGGGCTAGTGGCGGCAGGCATAGGGCGGTGAGCAGTACCTTAGAGAGTAGTGTGGAAGCCCTCATCCGGGTTTCCTCCATTCCGCCCACATCTGCAGGGCTGATGTTCTCCAAGAGCTTGGTCAGTAGAGGAAACAGCACCTGGTGGGTGAACAGCCCACATCTTTCACAGGGCCAGCTGGAGCGGGTGCTGAGAGGCCAAGGGCTGACAGCGGCAGCGCTTCGGGCTGCTGGCCCCCCTTGTCACTTCCCTCAGGCCAGCAGGAAGTCTCACCTTGTTGAAACAGGACTCCCATTCCAGGGCATCCAACTTTTGCAGATCGTGGACCAGGAGTGCTCGCTGCAGATAGGTCAGTGCCTGCATTCGCACCTGGCGCCGGGCATCACAGCACAGGCAGGCAATGCCTGAGGGCAAGAGCAGCTGTTAGGATCCCTTGAGGCCCCAGGTGCTGGTGCTCTGCCCTAGCCCTGCCCTGCCTTCTCCCCTCAGGGTTACCCTGCAGCAAAGGGCACCAGCAGTGGGCCCAGAGCGTGCAAGAATCCGCTTCGATCTTCCGGCTGCCTGTTTCCAGGTGGCGCTGCTCCTCTGCCCAGGAGCTATAGATGGAGGCGGCCCGCGTATGCAGGGTGTGCATCAGGTCTAACAGCTGGGAACACAGGAGGGAACAGGATGTGAGTGAGGCTCGGCCTGGTGAGCCCTCCCTGCCTCTCCCCCAACTGTCCCTGACTGAGTCCTCCAGGGGGTGGGCGGGTGGGGGGTGGAGCAGCAGCCATGCCATACTCCACTCTTCTTGGCAGCCCCCTTCCTGGACTCGCTGAGCTGGTGTGGGATGGGTCCCACGCATGACAGGTGTGAGGGCTAAGTGTCAAACAGCACTGAGTTACATGGAGAGACGGCCACTCTCTTTTCCATTCCACCTCACAGTCTGGTTAGTCTCAATTTTGAAAAACAAAAGGTGGGCTTTAGACTCAGCAGCTCGGATGGGCCAAGTGGCCCAAGTTCACATTCTGTTTCTGCGGTTACTGTCAGGAAGCCTGCTCCCCGGAGGCCCTGTTCTGAGACACCGGAGGTCACATCCGAAACTGGGGGCAGTGGCTGCCCCTGGGGAAGGGAACTGAGGAGCTGAGGACAGGAATGCAATGAGGACTTACTGTTCTGTTTACCCTCTTGTACCTTTTGAACTTTGAACTGTGTGCATACAATACCTATTCAAGAAACAAACAAACTTTCATTTAAGAAGAATCTAAACAAACAGTTGTAGGTGGCATTGGGCAAGGGGACTCGTGTGAAGATGGTGATTAAGGGTCTGGGCTAGGAAACCTGGGCCCTGCCTCTCAGCCCTGGCTGTCCCTGGCCCCGGGCTCCCAGTAAGAGGGGTAGCGGGAGGTGAGGAAGTAAAGGGTGCCATACTTACGTCCTGACTGACCTGTAAAGACACCGTGTGGTAGCTGGCGGGCACGCCTTCGTCCTCGTCGTCATCACTATGCACGCCCCGAGGGGCGTGTTGGCTGGAGGCTCGAGGCCGCCGAAGCACAGGACCCTCCTTGGGTTTCTTCTTGAAGCGGCTTCCTTTGCTGTCGTATTTGTGGCTTTTGCTCCGTTTCTCCTGGGACTTGCACCCTGATCAGAGCCAGACTCGAGTTAAACTTCCATCCGCCTATGCACAGACACCCTGCCCACTCCTCCCCGCGTCTCCTGTGCAGGTTCCCATGGTGACCCACCGCCGTTCAGACTGGCCTCCACAAAGATGCGGAGCGTCTTGACGCAGAGCTCAAAGTTGTCGGGTGTGATGTGGGCAGCATCTCGCACAATGAAGGACAGTGATTCCACACACTTGAGCAGGGACTTAGTGTCATGTGGCCCCAGGTCCAGCCCCACTGTTAGGCTGTACTGGTTGACCAGGGACGAAGAGGCTGGCCTGCTGAGTCCAGGCCCTGGCTTGGAGTTATCGATGTCATCCTTCCCCACCTGGAAAGTACAGAGAAGTTGGGCATCCTGGCCTGGCCTCAAGCTACCCTACAGGTGTTCTCTCAGGTGGCCAGGCCTCTTCCCTGCCGGCCACGGAGGGCAACACTCACCCTCTGCCAAGACCCTTTACTCACCACCAACCAACCACTGTTGACAACGTCAGCATCTGTGGCTGAGCGGTGTATCTTGCCAGGCTTGCTGTGGTCAGTGTAGACCTCCGAGTCGGAAGTATAACCTCGGTCCAGGCTCAGGTCACTGGGATGGTAGGATGGGAGCTCGCTGTCTGACTGGGCCCCTGGGCCAGATAAGGAGAAGAACAGAGTCAGGGTGGGAATGAGAACACTGGGTCAGGGATAAATTGGGCTGCCAGCACACATGTGTTGCATCTGACCTCCTGTCTCTGACTTAGCTTAGTTTCAGCTCTGTCACCAGAGGGTTGAAGGATGGGCTCGACATTTTGTCTCTTGACCAAATAGGGCAGCATCTAATTTGAGCTCCTGATGGCATCTAGTAGCTAGCAGCTGCAGGGGGTGGAGGTGGGTGATGGCAGGGCTAGTATCTGGGAAGCCCTCAAGGGGAGGGGAAGCCTGGCGTCACGGCTCTTTCTGCTGCCTTCATGCTACTTGGCCTGTCTGTACCAGGGAGAGGCCAGTGAGCACAGAAGGCAGAAGTGTTTCCTCTGCCAAATGCGACAACCTGGGTTTTGTTTCCCCGCCTCTCCTGGGCCCTAACTACCATAACATTTTGCCTGCCTGTGTGGGGCTGCCTGGGAAAGGGCTCACCAGCATCAGGTGCAGCCGCCCTGGCTGTGGCCTGCAGGGCGGCTGGAGGCTTCACCCCTGAGCCGATGCACTCCAGCAATGTGAAGAGGGTGGCCCAGTCTTCCCCCGAGTGGATGTTGGCTGCGTTCGTCTTGAGCAGCTCATGGAGCCCATAGGCAACCTGGTGGCTGACTCGGGACAGCACACTGGGCTTCATCAGCAGCAAAATGCGCAGAGAGAGCAGAACCTGCCACGGGGAGTAGGACAGGAAGTGGGCACAGAGCTTCCTGCCCATCCAGGAGGAGCATTTAGCTATTAGGTCTCCACCAAGGGCACTGCTGGTGGTCTTTTTTTTTTAATTGAAAAATGTATGGAGATAGTTGTAGATTCATATACAATTGTAAGAAATAATACAGAGAGCTACCTTATATGCTTTATCAAGTCTGCCCTGATGGTAACATTATACAAAACTATAGTACAATATCACAACCAGGATCCTTATGCTGATACACAAGTCATCAATCTTAACCAGATTTCCCCAGTTTGAGAGAGGGGGAGAGAAAGTTTATTGAGTCTTGGTATAACTTTATCACTGGATAGCTTCAGGCATTCCACACGGTGCAGTTCCAGCAATACTGCCCCCTTATGATCACAGCACCTCCCACCCATTCCTGTCCACAACTCAGGGCATCTGTCTTCAGCGTTTAAAGTTGTATTACTGAAAAATGTCATATAAACATAATTCTGTAGTATATTCATAAACTCTTTTTGAGATTGGCATTTTTCACTCAGTGTAATCCTTGTGTGTCCTTTTTATTGCTGCACAATATTCTATGTTTGAACGCACCACAGTGCTAACTATTCTCCTGTTGAAGGTCACCTGGACGGATTTGAGCTATTGACTATTACAACTAAAGCTGATCTGAACCTTCACATATTGGGCCTTTTATGTGAATCTGAGTTTTCATTTTTCTGGGCTAGATGCCCAGTAGAGCAACTGCTGGGTCATGTGGCTACTGAGTTTTAGTTTTTTTTCTTTCTGAGCTTTAGTTTAATAAGAAAACACCAAACTATAAAAAAATATTAAATCAGTACCTATCACCGATCTGCGTACCAAAACTTTACCTTAAGGTTGGTGTGCACTGAAAGATCTTTGAGAATCAAAAAGTTATTACCAACAACAAAAGAAAATGACAACCGAGTGGCTAAGCCATTTTATCCTCCTACTGGCTATGCCTGGGTGATCCTGTGTCTCTACAGCCTCGCCAGCTTTTGGTGGTGACCCTCCTTGTTCTTCCTTTGAGCCATTCTGATGGGCTCATAGCTTGAATTTGTACACACACACACACACACACACACACACACACACACACCCCTGGTGGCCAGTGATGTCGAGCATGTTCCTTTGCTTATCATGTGTCTATCCACTCTGCTGAAATGTCCGCTCACATCTTTTGTCCATTTTCTAAGGGAACTGTTGGTTTCTTTTACAGTTAAGTTTTGAGAGATCTCTAGATACATTTTAGATACCAGTCCTGTGTCAGATATGTGGTTTGCAAATATAGTCTCTCAGTCAGTAGCTTGTCTTTTCATCTTCTTTACCTAAGCTATCCACAGAGCAAAATGTTTTTAATATTAGTGAAGCCCAATTGATCAGGTTTTTTATTTTATGGACTGTGCTTATGAAAGTCAAGAACTCTGTCTAGTCTCAGATTCTGAATATTTTTCTGTTTCTAAAAGTTTTTTCTTACATTTAAGTCTATGATTCATGATGTACACATTTCTGTACAAAATGTGAGGGTTAGTTGATGCCAGGGGCTTAAGTGGAGAGCAAATGTTTTGAGAGTGATGAGGGCAATGAACATACAAATGTGCTTTACACAACTGATGTATGTATGGATTGGGATAAGAGTTGTATGAGCTCCTAATAAAATGATTTAAAAAAAAGTGGATGAAGGGAGACGTCGGACAGTGTAAGATATGGCAAAATAATAATAATTGTAAATTATCAAGGGTTCATGAGGAAGGGGGTAGCGAGGAGGGAAGGGGTGGGAAATGAGGAACTGCTACCAAGGGCTCAAGCAGAAAGCAAATGTTTTGGAAATGATGATGGCAACAAATGCACAAATGTGCTTGACACAATGGATGGATGGATGGATTGTGATAACAGTGGTATGAGCCTCCAATAAAATGATTTCTTTTAAAAAGTGAGGTTTATATCAAAATTCATTTTCTCCCCTAAGAATTTCAATAGCTCCAGTGCTATTTGTTGAAAAGGCTAGCTATCCTCCATTGCATCGTTTCTGCATTTTATAAAAAAGCAGTTGAACAATGGTTAATGTAAATGGGATGTTGACTTGGGAAATGTTGTGCTATGTTTACACAATAATGAAAAAAAAATCAGTTAAGCATATTTATTTGGGCCTACTTTGTCCCATTAGTGAATATGTCTTTCCTCCACCAGTGCCATACAGTGTTGCTGACACTGTAAGCTTTCATATTAGCGATTTCAACGCATTCCACTCTTTGTCAAGATTGCTTCGGCTATTCTCGGGCCTTGTGCTTTTCCATATGGATTTTAGCGTCTACAAGAAACCTGGTTGGGCTTTGACAGGAGTTGCATTAAGAGTGTAGATCAATTTGGAAAGGCATGGCATCTTCACTCAGTCAAGGTAACTCTTCTCTCTGTCCGTGAACATCAGGATGTGTCCTCATTGATTTCTCTGATGAGCATTTACAGATTTTTTACCATATGCATCCTATATGTGTCTTGTTAACTGTACTGGCATTTCATTTGGAGTTTTTATAAATGGTATCGGGTTTTTAAGTTCAGTGTCAATGTGTTCATGGAAAGATGATTAATTTTTGTGTGTTGATCTTGTATCCCGTTAAACTCAATTATTATTCAATGCCTCCGGCCTTCTGTAACTGGGCCAAGAAATCTTAGGAAAGTCCGAAAGGGGAGCATGAGGAAACTAGATACAGGGCTGGGATGGCCCAGGCAGCAGCAGTGCAGTCCAACCAGGAGACTCCCGGGAGCCTGGCTGAGCACCAGCTTTATGTCTGCGGCGTTCCAGGCTCACCCCCCCACCTGTTGGATCTCACCAGCTGTTGGTCCCTGGGGAACATAATGACCCCTGTATGTCAGGTAGAACGCACTCCACAGGGTTCCCAAGGACGTGACTTTTTGGAAGCAGCCACACCATGACTGTCTCCCGAGGTGCCTCTAAGTCAGCGGTTCTCAACCTGTGGGTCGAGACCCCTTTGGGGGTCGAATGACTCTTTCACAGGGGTCGCCTAAGACCACCAGAAAACACACAAATATTTCACAACATATACTGTATATACTGGAGTCTAAGCCAAGCCAACCCGAATATCAGTTAGCCAAGACACCTAACTTTACCACAAAAACTGCATTAAAAATGTGCTGGGAAAAAAAAAAATGTGCTGGAAAAACTCGGCTTATACACCAGTATATCTGCTAATTACATATTGTTCTGTGATTAATCACTATGCTTTAATAGTGTTTAATTATGTTCAATTTGTAACAAGAAAATACATCCTGCATATCATATGTTTACATTATGATTCATAACAGTAGCAAAATGACAGTGATGAAGTAGCAATGAAAATAGTTTTATAGTTGGGGGTCACCACAACATGAAGAACTGGATTCAAGGGTCGCGGCATGAGGAAGGTTGACAACCACTGCTCTAGGTGGACTCAAACCACCAACCTTTCAGCTAGTAGTTGACCACTAACCCATTTGGCTCACTCAGGGACCCTTTGAGCTTAAGTGCCTACGAGGCACTAAGTCTGGTCTCTGTCTTGGGCCATGTCCACAAGGAATACTTGTCGTTTCAGCCCCATGCACATCGCCCCCTGCCTTCTCAGCTGTACTCGACTTACCTGGCCACTGATGTCTTCTCGTCGGAGCAGCCGAATGGCCAGGCGTAGCTGTCCCACCACTGCCCGCTCAACAAGGAAGCAGAAATCCTGTGCCTGGACACACAGGTGGTACAGATGGTCTCGGACAGTCTGCCACACACAACCCACACGGTCCCTGTAGGGAACACTAAAGATGAGGACACCAGGCAGGGAGACCCCCTTCTGATCGAGGCTCGGCCTTTTAGGGGTCACTGGCATTAGACCCTAAGCCAATGGGTATAATGAGCAAGCTTTTCTCCTCTGTCTACAGCCTAACACATTTCTTGTCTCAGAGCTTACTCAGCAAGATGACTCCCGGCTCCCGGCCCTTTGGCATAAGTCAATGTGGGGCCTGCCAAAAGACTGCCCTCACCAGCCGCCTCCTACCTGTTCTCCAGCACAATCCTCAGCAGCATCTCCAGGCAGAAAGCAGCATCCTCCTCATCATATGTCTCTTCATCTGGTGTCACGGAGACTAGGGCCTGGAGGGTAACAGGAGCAGAAGGTGGCATGGAAATGCCAGGCACTGGCCCCATACTGCCAAGAAGTTGGCAAATACCGCTGCTCCCTTCACCGCAAGCCCAGCCTGCCCCTCTACTGCTCTTTGCTCTGCATCCGTACCTTCATGAGCTCCTGCAGTGACTCCAGCTGAAGGAATTTACTTTCTGTGATCATCTTTTCTGGATCACATTGCTAGAGAATGCATGAGAGAGGGGGTCAGAGATTTAGACTGAAGGTACAGCGCTTCCACAAGAGAAGACAGAAGACAAGCCCTGGATGATACTATTCTTCAGTTAGCAGGACAGCGTCAGTCCAGTAAGGAGGGTTCTAGGCTTATTCATGGGAAGGGGCAGAGCAGGCAGTTACCTTGATACAGTCTAAGGCCACTCTCTTGGCCTCTTGGTTCTCAGTGGATGGGCCCCGCATGCTAGACTGCTCAGGACCACTCAGTGTCAGCCAGCTCACAAAGCTCAGCACTGTTGACTCTCCTCTGTAGCGGAAGAGTACGAGCACTTGTAAGGCTTTGAATCATGACCTTCCTTCCCCAATGTCTCCAAGGCTTTGGCCCGTCCTCACCGGTTTGATGGTGTCTCTTCCCGCTGCAGAGAGATCTTGCCATTGGGATCCACGAAGTCTTCTACCTGGACAAACAGGATCAACTCTGATTTCATTCCCCAAGACCTTTGCATTTCCTGTCCATCCTCCACACATGCAAAGTTCTTTCTTCGAAGAGCCCTCTCTCCGCCTTACATTATTTGGCTTCCTCCAATTGGTGACTGGCAATAGCTCCTGCCAGCCTTTCTTTACAGCTACCCCCCCACACACACACCTGTGGCCTTCCATTTGAAGAGTTCTGGTGAACTTTAGCAGGCATTAGGGACAGCGCTACACTCAACCAGTTCTGCATACACACAGTGTACAGTCTTGGGGCTTTGGCCTTCATGCTACCGACAATTCTCCTACTAAGAGTTACCTCCACCATAGCTTTGGGCAGCAGCTGTGCTCGGAACAGCTGCAGCATGGCCTCCATGATATTCTTCCAGCCCTCCCGCAGGATGTCGCCATGACAATGGGCCAAATGGAAAACCATCTTGGCTGCAATGTGGGCTTTGGGATTGCTTCCAAACACACTGGGCAGGTTCTCAATAGACTGGAAAAGAGGATAAGAAGAGACTTAAGGCCTGGCTGATGTCTGGAACCAGGGCTCAGCCTCCGGTTCAGAGAGTCCGTAAGCTGGCTCTGCTTCAAGCTCCCGGAATGCTGGATAGTGCGCTCTCCTGGTCAAAGCCTTCCCCACTCTGGCACCGCCTCTCCCTTCCCATGTCATATGGTGGTGCTATTCTCACCCCAGGACACATAAGACAGAAATGACCCAAGCTCTGCCATGGTCAAGCAGGCCAGGGAAGATGCTGAAAGAAAGCAGCACACAGAGAAGGGCAGGTAGATGGCTACAAGACAGGTCCTCCTTTGGAAAGCCAAATACCCAGTTCTTGCCCATGCTCACCTCACTGCTGAGAGCCGTGAATTTGCACAGTGAGATGATGAGATTGTCAAACACATCGCTGAGGCCATAGTGGGCGGAGATCATGGCGCATTTCCTGTAACATCACCCCATCCCAGAAACAGTGTTAGCGAAAGGCTAGAATGTCCTTTCAAGTCCCAGTAGATTTGCTTAGGTCTCCTCTCCAGTCACTCCCAGGGAGAAATCTTTGAGTCTTAACTCTGTTGCAGACAGATTTCCCTGTCTCCGCCCAGCCTTCCTCCAAAAACTCAGGAGGAACCTCATTCCAAGGAGCATTATCATGGGAGTCAGAGAAGTCGCAGAGATAGCTATATTTGCTCAGAGAGCTAGGAAGAGGTTGAGACCAATGCCACAGCTGGATTACCTGAAGCCTGAGATGGATTTCTGGATGATTGTCTCCTCCAGGCTTTTGTCAAAGACATACGAAAGAGCAGCAATGGTGGGGCCCCAGGTCATGGTGAAGAGGTCAAGGTCGTAGCTGCCAGCAGGCACACACAGGAATATGCCCTCAGGGGTGGCACCTCGGTGGAGCAGCACGTTCCACACATAGTTCTCCCGCACCAAACCTGTCTGTTCCTCAGGCATTACAATTTCCTCATTCCTATCACAAGGCAAGAGAAGGCGTTCTAATCCAGGAGAGTTTCACCCAGCAAATACTGATCCACTCCATCCAAAACTTCAGCTCAGTGGTCTGCCTTCCACCCACCAGGGGGACCAGGGGGAAAGAAGGGCATGTTCCCTCATCCCCCACAGTCTCAAAGCCCCGTCTTTAAGTGAGGCCCTTCAGTTCTGAAGTAAGATCTCATACTCTTTCTGGAAAAGAGAAGATGGTCAATACTATTTTTTTCCAATGTGTAGTCAAGACCTAAGTGTCCTGACTCTGATTCAAGCCTGGCCCACCAGTGCGCATCTTGTAGCCCCCAAATGCATCTTATGAACCAAACAGGAACATACAACTGGTCTGAATTTGAGCCAGGACCTACCATGTAAGGGGCAGTTTCGACTTTGGCTTAGAGTACTGAAGTCTCAATATTGGCTATATATATTGCCTAGTAAGCCCCAATAAAATGATTTTTTTTAAATGATTTTTGCTTAATAAAAATAAAAAGGACCAAAGCTAAAGAAATTAAGGCACATGAGAATTCCCAGAGTCTAACGTGACTGACCCTGAGACCCTGAAAAGGAGGCAATGTGCTTCTCTCTAATGGAGAGGCTGTACCGTCTCTGTACATACTCACTTGATGGCATGATACATGTCCTCCAGGATGTCTTGCTCAAAGTCCTTGCCTCCGTTCACACCTTTTAGGTTTTTCCGAAACTCCTAGAGATAGGCCAGTGAGCTTTCCCCTTGTCAATGCTGAGGCCCCACCCAAACAACTCCGGGTTCTGTGGTAAACAGGGCTCAGGAAAAGAGTAAGCAAAAGATTCCAGAATGCTCCCTACCCACCAGCTTCTCTTCTGGATTGGCCATTCCTTCAATCCCCTCGCACAAAGCTCTGACCTCTGTGCCCATCAGAAACCCACGTCCTTCCCACTACCTCTACAGCTGTGTTGGATCTTCTCCAACCTGGCTAGAATCCAATCTTACCTCCAAGGTCATAGGTGCATTTTGTTTGCGAACGTTGTGGTTGTGTTGGTCAGTATTAAGCATGATGACAGCATAGGCCAGGGCAAAGCAGGCATCGCTATTGGCAAATGGGGAGCCATTACAATTCTGAAAAAGCAAAGACCCCACCTGTGTCAATGCTCTTGTCTGGCCAATTAAACCTTCACTACCAACCCGGTCAGTGCCGGTACAGAGGAGAAGTACCACCCGGGAAGTGGCCAATCTCTTGCCAACTCCTTAGCAGAAGGTGATCTCTCCATGGAAAGCTCACAGATGTTGCTCTCAAATTCTTAGGAGACAGCAGTGAAGTCCTTTAGTTAAGGCCACAGAAGCCTTCGATCAAACTAAGCTGGGATCGTGAGCTCAACTCACCCTCCAATGCTCTGTGAATGCTTCTAGCAGCCGCTGGATGACTGGTGCTTCCCCAGGCAGGCGGAAGGCTTCCAGGTAGAGGCGGAGAGCTTCATCCAGCCTCAGACCCTGAAAGCTGAAGGTGCTATAGGAAAAGGAGAAAGGACGTAAAGGATGATGGATAGGTTGTAAATGCTCAAGTGCTCTTTCTACTAGCCACAGTCTGCCCACACTGTTTTTTCCTGGGCTCTGGCAAAGGGGAGGTAGCTCCCGGTCATCCCTAATATAGAGCAGAACACTGGCAATTCCTAACCTTAGCAGGCTCCTGTCTGGTAACTTTACCGCCACCCCCTCACCGCCCCCCCCACCCCAACTCATCCTCTGTGCTCAGACAGGTTGATCCAGCCCTTTGTAATATCCTCTATGCGTAGTGGAAAGGCTCTCCAAACCGAGCCTTGAATCCCTTTCAGGTCCAACAGCTACAAGCGCTGGAAACATGTGGCCCGGGTCACCAGCAGGAAGTGCGCAACACTGCTTTGGAGGAAGGAGGTCCAATCCAGAAAAACTACCAACTATGTCCCACACCGCTCACAGCTTCCTCACCTCACAAAACTCTCCAACAGGTCAATGTTCTTCCGGTCACTCACAAACTCCCCAATCATTTTCTTGTCCAGGCGAGGGTTTTCTCGGAGCCACTGGGCTACTTCTGTGTTGTCCATTGGGATGGTGAGGAGGCCTTTCTCCTGCAGAAACTGGATTCCTTTCCTTGGCTTCTGGTTGAACTGCTCGGTGCCAGTGATCAGCAGCTAGCAGACAGACATCCAGAGGTGTTCCTGAACCACCCACACAGGCCAGGATTGTTGGCTAAGGGGCTCTGACAATGTGGTCCCTTCTGTGACTCCAGAATTAAGACCAGATGATATTGGCCCCTCGCTTTCCCGAACTTTCAGGTCTAATTCAAACAGGCTAAGGAGCTCCTTTTCTGAGTGCTCGAGAGTCACGGGCCAGTTCCCTCTCCTCCTCCCACCTGGGGCTCAGAAGGCAAGAAAGACTAGAAAAGACTTCCATCTTCTCTCCAGTGTTATGCTCATCCCTGTGCTCTGTTTACAGCCAGCGTCTTGTATGGGGCTTAGGTTGGATTCCCCTCTTTTTGTTGTTGTCTAGCTCTTGTGGCTCTGGGGTTTGAAGGATGATGGTAACTCCACTTTCTGCCTGCCCACCCATATTCCTGTAAGCGGGCACAATTAAAGTCATTTAGGGACTAGGCTGTCAATAAAAGGAATAAATGGTTAGATAGAAGTCTTATTTTCAGTGTGTGTGTGTGTGTGTGTGTGCCCGCACTCACATTCATGCATGCATGAAGGACAAGCACAGTTATTTGAACTTTACTAATATAGGAGAATAAATATCAATTTCCTCTAATTGTTAATTACCACTCTAGAGGTAGAATGACTGGACCTACATGACACTAGCTCCCAGGGCTCTGTCACCCTCATTAACAGCGGCCTCTCAACTACTGCAACATTTGCCCCAGGGCATATAAGAAAACATGCTGAACCACATGGCTTCGGAGTAAGGGGAGAGTTTCAAAGGAGATGAGGAGTGGCTGAAATCTCAATAAGCTCAGAGACTGACCCAGTAGCAATGAGCTGCCAGACTATCTCTCATGCTCTGGGATGGGAACCCCACAAAGGACATCAGACAGAGGTCAGTGGAGGGTGAGCTCGGGGGCTATCTGTGTGTACCTTCTTTTTGTTTTTTATTTCAACCAGTTCCCGTGGATCAGGCAGAAAGCTGGAAAATCGAGGTGGCTTCCGGGTAAACTTTTGGTCCGCTAGGAATAGGAGAAAGAAAGTGAAAATCCTGTGAGACCTCTTTTACCAGGAAAATGACTATGGGAAGGTCGGTGGTCTATGGTCCAGTGAGGAGGAAGATGGCTCAGAAATCCCCTTCTCCTTATCAGTCTCCACTGCTCTGGAAACCTAGTTTCTGGGGCTCCAGATACTTTCCCTCCTCTCTCTGGGGCTGAGCGCATGGTGAGCAGCCACGGCTCCACGAGGCCAAAGTCCTAGGGCCTTTCTCTGCCCCCTTCTCGCCACTCGCCACCAGGACTTCCAAATGGAAGGGGTGTGGGTTTATGGACACTCAGTACCCACCCCCAGAATCACCAGCTTCCTCCAGATCACTGCATCCTGGCTTCCCATGTTCTGCTGACAGCTGCCCTCCACCTGGGATGTCGGGGGCCATGCCTACAGCTTTCCTGTTGCCGGCTGTTCTCTCAGCTGGTAAAAGAGAAGATGATGTGTAAAGACTATGGGATAGGAAGTCAAGCCATAGAGACCGCCATGCTCGCACAGAGGGAGTTGGTCCTACTGAGGGCAAGTCCAGGTCAAAACAAAGGGGCTCCTAGTCCGGATCTACCAAGTGTTCCATTCCACAATGAAGAGGAGGCTAGCTTGTTGCTGAAATTCTGCCACCTCGGTCTCAAGGTGAATACAGAGATGAATTAGAGGTAGAGATGGTCTAAGAGAAGGTTGGAGCTGGAGTTTTTAGGCAGCGTCCTCTATCTCTATCCTTTACTCTCCCTTTGTTAAGAAACAATAATTTTTCCAAGAGCTGAAGGTGGGAGGACGAGAGAGAGCAAAGTTCATGAATTCTGCTCATCTGCTTCCCTGCCTGTGACTCAAACCACCAAATCCTGGAAACCCAGAATAGGGGCTACCACCTAAGGAGGAGGAATGTTAGGGGCAGGAGCTAGGATTCAGGGAGTAGACAAAGGGTAAGCACAGAACTCTGGAATCCTCAAAGAAAGAAATGCTGCTCACCATTACTGGTTTCTCGGGTACCATCTACTGCTTCATGGCTGGGTCTGGCTGCCTCTTTTTTCTCCTGTTGAGTGAGGTTGTTGAGGCCTTTGGCCTGGCAGTGGGCCTCAGTGCTGTCAATCACTGTCAACAGGGCATCAAGAGACAGCAGGTGTGTTGTATAGAGCTGACCAGAGACAGGGAAGGCATTCTGGAAAGTAATCATGTTCAGGAGGCTTGAGGTTAGAGTACTTTATATTTTAACGAATCCTTTCCCAAAATTCCTGATACCATCTATTGCTTCTATATTGTCTTAAGAAAATGCCTCTCTTCTTCCCATTCCCCAAATCACAAGTGTTCCCTTACTTGTAGAGGTAGCAGCCCTACCACCACCAGGGAGATTTCCTTAACAGTCCCCTTTCCAGAGGCCTGGCACAGTGATCAGCACCTTGGACAGCAACTTGGTGAGGTCTTCAAACAGGTTGGAACAGTAGTAGTCACAATCATAGTTGATGTAGAGCTCGGTGACAAAACTAGGGATCCGCCAGAGCTGCACAATGGCCTCCAGTGCCATCTCCTTCATCTCATAAGGCATCTTGGGGTTCTCCACAGTGATGATTTCCATGAGCTTTCTGATGTACATCTGGCATCAATCAGCAACCCAGCAGTTGCCATTTGGGCATTCGGGAAAGGAAGAGACAAAATTGGATGGGAAGAACATTAAGCAGAGGAAACAAGCACAGACGGAGGCCAGCATGATGAGACACGTAAAAGGGTTCCATCTCTGCAATACACCCTTTGTGGTCTCCACGCTGGGAAATAAAAGCCTGGCTTTGTCTCATGACTGATCTGAAACAAGTTGCCTGCTGCCCCTGGGCGCCCTCTGTGCGAGGCCGACCCGGTCTGCTCCTGCAGTGGCAGAGCTGGTTTGATTTCCCCGCCGGTGTTGCAGGGAAGAACCGTTCCCACGCATCGTGAAACTACTTGCCAATCCTGGCATTCAGGTTCTCCCACGTCATAGCCAGCCCGCTTTCCCGGGCTTTCTTTGTACTTCTACCCTACTGAGGCCAGAAGAAGGACCAAACTGTGGGGGTTAAAAGTACTTCCCTACAGGAAGTCTCAAGTCCACCACAGCAACCTCACGGGGCTGGTCTCACTCAAAGGCTGTGTGTCTCCACAATTTTACTTATTTATTTTCCTTTCTTTCAAGGTCAGGAGACTCACCTCCAACTGGAACTTGAGGTGCTCCCGCATGCTCTCAAACAGCAGGAAGCATACTCGCAGGGAAGCAGCATAGAGGTTCAGTCGCTCCACGCTGAGTAACTGGAGAGCAGAGCGGGTGGGCCATGAGGTTTCTGAACCTGCCATAGCTCAACCCGCAAGAGGCAGGAAAACCAGTGGTGAGGTTGCCACTGAGGTCCTGTGCTCCAAGGAGACTGGCTATTCCCGTTTCCCTCTGACGGCCAGAGCCCCTGGGGAGCTATGAGAGCCCCTTTCCTAGGACGACTGGCCAGTCGCAAGGGAAGGGTTATCCTGGGCTCTCTGCTTTACTAACAACTTGGTCAAACCACCTGGTGCGCTCTCGGCCCGAGAGACCTTGGAAAGTAGCTGGCGGTCTCTGAGCCCCTCCAGCAAGTCAGTTTTACCTGGAATAAGTGGCGGCACATCTCATCCTTGATGAGGCCCAGGAGGGTCTGGCACTGGGCTATCGGAGCTGACTCAAGAGCCACTGTCAACAAATGCAGCCCCATGTGGATCATAACCTCCGAGTTGTGACGGTCATGTGGGTTGGTGAGGGAGATGAGGAAACGGAAGAGCTCTCGGATACAGGGCAGACCATAGGGTACCAAAGCTGTACCTGAGGAAGCCAGGAGAGAAGTGAGAATACTAGGAAACAATCAGCCTAACGATATGGCCTACGCGGCCATGCACTATATAAAGCAGTTTCAGGTAAGTGATTTTCTTCAAGGAAGAAACGTTGTTTTCTGGGAAAGTAGAGAAACTCATCTTACTCACTATAGGGAATCAGAGTTAAAGATGCTACCTTTCTGTTACAAACCCCAAGCTTTCTATTCTTCCCTCTCGCTTCCTATTTTCTACCAAATTCCCTCTCTGTATGCGTTAGGAAAGGGTGCTGTCCATGTCAACAGTCCTCTGGCTTCTCTCCGTGTTCTGACAGGAAAATGGACTAGAACTTGGACCAGCAGTCGCCTTGGGTCCATGATGGTCTAGACCCAGGCAGCTTAGTGGCTGGGATGGGGAACACCAATGGGTAGACTGCCAGAGAACACTCACCTTCTTTCTGGGAGGACTGTGTAAACCTCACGCCCCGAGGATTGACGTAATCCATGTCATGGACAGAGGCAGAGTCGGAGTGGTCAGCAGGGGAAGTGCACTCCTCTAGTACCTCAGGGATGGATTCCACAGATGCAGACTGGGCCTGTTCCACCTGGGCGCCTTCCTGCTATGACCAGTAGCAGAGGTTAAAGTCAGAGCGATGAGGACAGAGAAATTCAGAACTGACTCTCTGAAGTACTTGTCCTTTAATCTGTTTTGAATGGGTTGTAGGTATAGAGCTAGCTCAGTAGGCTATGAATCAATTCTAGATGGTTGGTGGGAGTGGGGTGGGGAGTATATGATGAGGGATTCAGAGCAAATCCCCTGAGGCATTACCGACTTACAGTGACCAGACCCTAGAGGTGGTAGAGGCTCCCACCAGTCTGGGATTCAGATCATTACCTTTCAGAGAAAGCTACAGCAGTTGGCTTGCCTTTGCCAAGTGCTACCCATATGCATAACTTGACAAATTCCTGCCCCCGATCCCAACTATCTCCCATAGTGAGTTCTGCTGTGGGCTTTCCAGGCAGCATAGCTAAAAAGAACCTCCTCCTGCCCCAACCTTCCTTTGAGCCAAGCCTAAACAAGGACACAAAGGATCAAGTTAATTCCTACTCGGGAAGGTTAGAGGGGGGCCTTTAGGAATCAAAGCCATACCTGGGGATCAGGCTGTTCAGGAAGCCCTAGCTCGCCGCTCACAGGCTCTGCAGCTGCACTGTAGCCTGGAGAGACAGCTTGTTCCAGGTCAGTGAGGTCCTCCTTGGAGGTGGTCTGGGAGGAGAACTCCAGGCCACTGTCTGTAGAAGGGCTGACCACTGCCGAGGCAGCTTCTGAACTTGCCGAGGAGATGGGGGTAGGCACATCAATGAAGGGCATGCCACCTGCCAAGCAAGGTAAGTGAGGCTTAAAGGAGAAGAGAAGGCAGGCGCTGTGGGAAAAACATACTCTCTCAGGGCTTCCTTCCCCAGCCCACCTCCTAATCTCTGCATGAACTGATCTCTACAGTGGTCAGAGGCCTTCTGCAAGGAGAGCACCCCCGATCACTGCAAAGATGGTGAACATCACAGTCGGACTGAACCTGGAGTTTTCCCCCTTTGCTCTTGGCAGACACATCAAAGCCTCTCGGTTCATCAGTCTTCAATGTCAATGTCCCCGAGAGAGTAGGGAGCTTTTCTTCTATCTCCTTTACTTCAAGGAAGCCGCCCAGGCTACTTACCAGTGAGGTTAGATAGGGTGCTTCCATTGGAGGTGGGCAGCTCTGAACCTGGTGCGCCTTTGGTCATATGACGAGGGGGCCGGGGGGATCTCTTCTGTTTCTTCCATTTGGATGAATCACTCATGCCTCCTGCTCTCATTTTCAGCTGGAAACATCACACCTCATTAGCACTAATATCCAAACCAAGACTTTATCCCTAGAAATCTCCCTTCTCTCAGTCCTACCAGTTCCTCGAAACAGCGTGTGCCCCACAATTGTCCCCAGGTAGCAATCTAGACCAATGTTTCCCAAAGTGGGTGATACCGCCCCCTGGGGGGTGCTGGATGATCCAGGGAGGCTGCAAAAGCAGACATCTACATTTTACTCAGGATTATGGGCTGTAGTACAAAAGTCTTTAATTGCCAGGGTAGCACTGAATAATTTTTCTTTTCTTTCTTAAAATTTTTTTTTAAATTTAGATCAAATAAGTTTTGGAACGCACGATGGACTATAAGATCACACCCCAATCCTCTCACCTGGCTTCTACATGTGCCACTTTGTAAGTCAGCGTGGCAGCCTCCAACTAGAAAGTGACATTCTGTGTCTAGCTGGTCATGGAAAAGGCCAATCCTCACACTGATCACTCTGTTCCCCTGGGTCCCAAGTCCTGTAGAGGAGAGTGACCTCTTGCAGAAAGGACAGGATCAGGAGCTCCTCTGCCCAGAGCCTCAGGTCTACAGGTCCCGGGACTCTTGGGTGCCCTCTGGCCCCACCCTGGAGAGCAGCCTCCTAACTCCTGCTAGCTCCTAATCAGTGACAAGAGCCTACACCTTCCTACCCAGGCTTTTGGCTTTCCTACTGCTTCATGGGAGGAGCCTTAGTGTGGTGCACGGGGGTTATGTTTGAAATCACCAGCTGCTCCTTGGGAGAAAAATGAACCTTTCTACTCCTGTACAAAGTTACAGTCTCAGAAAGCCAGAGGGGCAGTTCTACTCTGCCCTACAGGGTTGCTATGAGTCAGTACTGACTTGATGGGTGGGAGTTTTATTTTGTTGTATTGCTTCATGGATGGACTGAGAGTCTAGACCCTCGACCATAAACACACGCCTTACTTTTTAGAATGTCTACATCAAATTGGACAAAGGCTCATTCCTTGCAGTCACGAAGGGGTAGCACCAATTATTCAAAGTTAAGAATGGACGATCATGTCATACTCTCAGCTGCCCCCAATTCTGGTATTATCCAATGGAGACTCCAAAAAAGACCGTTGGCCTTTCTAGATTCAATTTATGCTTTCATATGGGAAGGCCCTGATTCCTTGGACCCACTCTTGCTTTAGTTCTGTTCTTCTATGGCTTCTATGTAGTCACAGGGATCATCAATCACTTAAGATGTGGTTTTCCCATACATCTCCTCAACCCTAAGTTCAGCGACTTCAGTTAAAACCATTTCTTTCCCCTAGCCCTGAGGCTTTGGCATTTGGGGTTTGAAACTGGTCCACCACAGAGTCACACTGAACTACTCCTTGAGTGGTCAAAGGACCATTCCTCAAGTGGCCACAGCAACTCTCTTCCAGGAGCCCAAAGAATGACCCCAAAGAGAGCAGAAACCCTTTTCCTCCCTGCCTCTGCCTCAAAGTCCATGAGTGCCTTCTGCCCCCCTCTCCTTAAGTGTCCTTCTAGAACCTGGGGATCTCTGACCCCTGGCTTAAAAACCTTAATTCTCCCTTCCTTACGCATCGCTCCTCCCATGAAGGTGAGAGACCCAGTAGCTGACCTGAACCCTTCCACGACTCTGTGCAACAACCTTGCATTGGATTCACACTGTTTGTCCCCCCAACCCCAAACGCCTGTAGTCATACACCTGCTCTGGAGCCTTAAGTGCTCTCAGGACTGTGGCCAACGCTCTCCCAGGGCCGATTCCCCAGAAATGTGCCCCTATTTCAGTATGTGGAGGCTGGGAGAGCGCGCCTCCCCACTGGAGCTCAGCAGGGTCAAGTTTTAGGTGAAAACTATTCTGAGGAGATCAGTTAGCAAAAAACCGCAGAAGTGTAAGAAGCCCAAGGTACCCGTGAAGGAAAACAAAGACTTCCTGGCTTCATTGGCAGTTGTGACTGAGCTTCAAAAAGTACTAAGGTCTGAATCCAGTTTTATGGGGTACCCTTTTCTCCAGGAGGTTCCCTGATTTCGGGGACTCCAGGAATCCTAATCCCATTGAGAAGTCAGGCATTCACTGAGATTCCTTTCCACACTGGGTTCAGCCTTTCCTCGCCATTTGCTTTTCTGTCTTCTGCTCAGCTAGCTCTAGCCTGGTGGTTTCAGTGAGCTTTCTCTGCCTCCTGGCTGGAGTAAGACCGCAAGACTTCCAGTCCTCATAAATGCCTCAGCCCTCAACAAATAGAGCTGTGCTCTGTGCCTATGGGGAGGGCAGGCAGAGATGTTCATGGAGCCCAACACCCCCTTATCTGTATAAAATTCCATTCCCAAAGGACAGCATCGCTTTTTAAAAAGTGACCGTGGCAACAAGCCAGCTAGCCACTGAAGAGAGCTGCAACTCTCAAGATAAGCACACAAACAAACATCAATACAACCCATGCAAAGGGCACAGGCCTATGGTCTGACTGCCTTGCTGGGTGCACATCTATACCCACAGTTTATGTGTTTGTTTCATCTTAAAAGGCCTGGATGCCTTCAACCACACCTTGAGCATGCAAACTCTTGTGACCCACCCAGGCCATAATTCCTTTTCTCCCTCTTCTTTAAAGTAGAGGTACAGGGACTAGGGTAATCTTTAGTTTGGACCCTTCTCCTACATCCCAACTTTTAAAAGATGAGACGGCACTACCAAGATGCCAGTTATTCTGTGTCCTGGACAACCTCACCCCCTAGCCTCTCTCCACGAATCTACAGTTCTAAACCTTGGAGTGACGCCTTCAATGATAACCTAGGGGAAGAAAAAGAACTCAGCGAGCCAGACTACCCTGCCCCTCCAACTCAGTCCAGGCACTCAGAGTAAGTTTCTCTGACGCAGGGAGAAGGGAGAAGAGGGAAAGGAAGGCTCTTGCCTGGATGCCTCTCATAGTTTCTCTTGGAATGGTAGATCTGAATGCTCCCCAAGGGTGACAGTAGGACTCAGGCTCTGTCTAGTCTCACTAAATAATGCATCACCAGCTCAAGGGGTTCTCCTCCTGCTTCAGATGGCCCAGGAGAATTCTTTCTCAACCTTACAAAGCTACAAATACATGCAACTCCTCTTTCAAAGCCATGCTGTGTTATAAGGGTGGGTTGGGGTAAGTTGTGCTCTGCACAGTGGAAATGGGCCCCAGATGTTACCAATACAAAAGTAAATAAACACTTAAAGAAATAAAAGGGGGGGGGGCGAGTAGAGGGAGAGGGAGAGAGACCTTGAGGTTCTTAAAGAGTAGTACCCTCTCTAACTGGTTCAGGGCTTTGGGCTGCTCCCCACTACTTAGCTCCAGTGTGTTGAGGAGACATGGAGAAATCTGTGAAAGACAGGCAAACGCACGATTTAAACAGAGTGAAGTAAACTCAGACACACACCAACAGGGCACAGGGCACGGGCACAGGGCAGGAATGGGGATGGATGGCAGGGGAGAGGGGAAGGTCAGATCATGCAGCAAACAGCCAAGGGTCATCTCCAGGGGCAAAACCTCTTCAATTTGCAAGCAGAATTCTCATCAGATGCCTGTGAAGTTCAGGGTTTCAGTTCACAATAGAAAGAGGCCGTTCTTCTCATTCGTTCCCAGCAGTTGGAAAACCTTCCAACTTGGAGTCAGGCTTGATTTGTCTCTTCACCAGAGGCTAGCTCAAGCGTGAGCCCAGACTAATCCAGCAGTAGGGTGGAATTTGGGGCCTAGCCTCTCTTGGCTCCTACCTGCTGACAAGGCTGGGCCCTGAGGGGATGGCAGGACTTTTATCTGTGTCAACATACATATTCAGGCCACCCTCTTCCAGGGTCCACGGAGGACTGGCTCACCAGCTTATCTGGTGGATCAACAAAAGCCAGGAAGGAAGAGCTGGGGAAGGAGAGGCATTTGGGAGAGAATAAACTGTTCACTGAAGGAGTGGGAGCTATTTTCTAGATTCCAAGCAGACCTGTTAAGACAAAAGCATGTCTCTGCTAAGCAAGACTATCCAGGAAAATCCCTCTAGCGCTGAGGTTGGGAAATCAGGCTTGAATGAGGAACAGCAGACTGGCTCCTTGATCATACCTTTTTCATGTTGGTCCCCACATAATTCTTCGGTTCTTCTTTAAATTGAGGTAACCTACAAGATGGCAAATCCCAAGAAATGTCATGAGGGTTAAGGACATATTCCCCACTCTAAGCCAGCCATAGTCCAGAAGTGCTCTGGGCTAGCGCATGCCCTGTTCCTTAGGAAAAGCTAGGAAGAGAAGCCAACTACATTCACTCTTTTCAGAGCTTCAACAAAGAGTCACAGGTACTAGGGGATTCAAGACATGAACACTTTTTGAAAGAGAAGGTAAAGTCATCAGGGCAAAGTGACTAAGTTACCTGGGAATGTGGAGGTTGTTTTATCTTTCAACCAACACCTTTCTGCTTGGGTTAACTTGTTAACCATTACTAGGAGCCAAGACATGGGGAGAGGGAAGTCTATCAAATCTTTAGGAGACTGGGCACAGGGTCACAAGGAGAAGGCAGGGTGAGGTTTTGAAACCAGTAAATCTGAGTCTGAAAAATAGACTCTGCAGGGACAAAGGACAGACCTAATCTATAGATACCAAGCATTGTCACCTATAGATCTGAAGAGCAAAAAAGAAATCCCAGGGACATGTTTTCAAGCCATTGCTTTAGCTCTCCTCAAGGCTAGTTGGGAACAGGAGTTACAAGGAGATGTGGGATATGGGAAGTAAGGCATAATATGGAAAGGCCTCTTATGCCATAAAGCCTGAGGACATTGGCTAAGGTAAGCAACCATCCCAATAGGCCTGGACTTTCAGTGCTAAAATCAGATAGTCCCAGGAAAACCAAGAATACTGGTTGTCCTGGCCTTGGCCCCTCCCAGAGAGATCAGGATGAGCTTTGGGAGCTCAGCTCCTTGGTTCCGGGTGCCCTCGGACTTGACTTCCTCTATGGGTTCTCTTTCTCGGTTGTTTTCTGTGCAGACACACACTAGTTTGGGATGCGGAAGGAAGTCTTTCAGCCTCGATCAAATAACCTTCTGATCCCACCCCCACCCCAACCGAGGCCAAGCAAGCTCCCTTCTCTCCTCTTTTTCCCTTGCCCGGTAACCCAGAGCCCAGAGAGCTACCCCCATCCATAATCCCAGTGGCCTCTGATGTGGCTGTGGGCTTGGCTGGGTCCCTGAAGTGGCTATGTGGAAGCAGGCAAGCTCCAGAGGCCTGGGCAGCCAGGCTGAAGCAAACAGCAGCAGGTTTACCTTGTGAAGAGCAGCTGCACCATGTCTACCAGAGTGTGCTCTGCGGATTTTCTCAATAACTCTGCACAGGCAAAAACAAATAACACAGGTGTCATTACTTGCTGTGCTATTATCAGGAGGCTTCTCAGAGCAGACTCCCCTCCAAACCTTGTTTACCAAGGATTATGTCAAACTTATTAAAACCAGCTCCAGCTCAGCCTGGCAACCATAGTGCTGCTGTCCCACTAGGTGGCAGTACCGAGTTAGGAAAGAAGGAGCTGAGGCAGTTGCAGGTTGCCATCAATCCCAAAAACCCTAAGGGAGGGAAAAAGGTGCCTGGGTTGAGTCCTGTCTGGAAGCCATCCCACCTCCTTCCCTGGCACCATGGGTTGAGGTCTCTATTCTAGTTTTCACAACAAACTGTCAAGGACAAAGAGTTCTCAACGTCCATGACCTTGCCAAGTAGGTGATGCAGGAAATCATGCTCTTTGAGGCTCAGAAACAAACATCCCGTGTTCACACTTATGGACACTGGTGACAGGTGGGGTGGAGGTGAGGTGATGCAAGCACGTACCACTGAGTCTCATTTCAAAGCAGATCCGGAAACAAGACTGCATAATCTCACACACAGATTCATTGGTGAGGTGGGCACCCACGGGAGTCAGTAGCAGAGTCCGCAGAACCTACCATGCAGAACAGGGAGATACTGTGGCAAAGGGGTGGGTGGGTGGGTTGGGGGAAGGAAGAGGCACATGGGCGGGAGAGAGGCTCTAGGCTTTGTTTCCTCTAGGCTCCCAGGGAAGCAGTCAAGTTAGTGCCTCAGTTGGGCAGAGGTTTCCCAGGACTGCCTGAGAAGCTATTTCTTTTATTGTGCATGACCCTGTCATGGATCAAAATTCCTTCCAGGCCTGTAGCCCAGGAGCTTAAAAGATAGACGGAACAGATACAGACTGTGAGGCACAAGTGTATTAAGGGCATCCAGTATTTGATATCATTCATCTAAAGCTTTTAATTATTTTCCTTAGAGAAAGCTTTTACTTTTGAGTACCCGAGATGCTTGTTTGGAAATAGAGTCGCTTGCTAAGCCCCACTGGAGTCAAAACACAGCTCCGGGCTGCTGGCTGACAGGGGTAAGCAGAGCTGGTGGTACCCGCTCCTGGCCATTAGCCTGACTGCTCTTTCCCTCCACTTACCTGGAGGATTTTCATCAAGACAACCTCATCGCTGGCGGGATCTGTGCCCACAAAGCGGGCGTGGGTGACAGCATCTGCCATGTTCTCCATGCCCTCTGCTGTGCCCTCATGAATGGGATCTGCTCCAGGGGAAAAAAGGAAGACTAAGCGTGGAGAAGAGGGTTAGGGTGAGAGCAAGAGAGAGAGCACAAGGCATCTGGGCGAGGGACTGCTTTGCAAGCCTTTGATTTTCACCTAATTCCCTAAGCAACTTTTGCCCACTTAGGGCAAAAGTTTAGTGAGCTCTTCTGCATAAAGTCCACCATGTGGAACAGTGGATCTCCACGTAAGCAGGCATTAGAATCACTTGGAGTTTTTGTTAAATGAAAAATTGCTGAGCTTCACTTGCAGAGTTTTTGAATTAGGAGATCTGGAGAATTGGAGAATTTGCATTTCTAAAAAGATCCTGGGTGAATGTTGCTGGTTGGGGGACCCCACTTTGGGAATTACTGGTGTAAAGCTACTCATTTCTTGAAGAAAAGGCCTGGAGTTATGAGTTTGGGGCCCAGAGCAAACCAGAACTTTGAATGCCAAGGTTGCAGCCTTTCTCTTTTTGTCTTTCAACACATCTTCTCTCCTTGGTTGCTTTTGGACTTCTGTGCAAGTGAGGTAGAGAAGGTAGGTAGGTGAGCCAAGGGAAAGGGCAATCGCTGCTGCTGGTCCTCCTAGTGGTGCCCCCAGAACAGATGCTCAGGGAGCTCTGCCTCTCTGGTTTCACTCTTTTTAAAACAATAGAACACTGAGCAAGAATCCAGCTGCACTCAACTAGTATATTAGGAGGGGAAACAAAGCAAACCAAACTGGAGCTGGATAATTGGACAGTGCAAGAGTATGACTAAGAAAAGGGGCAAACTAGGGGCCAGACAACTAGTACAAATGCTGTCAAGGTGGGCGGGTGTGTGTGTGTGCTCCCTTTCTGGTGTTAACCCCAGGGAGCAGCCGAAGATGCTTTTCTCAAGGCCTATGAGGCTCCTACAGAACAGTCTGGGTTGTGGGGCTCCTGCCCCAGAGTCTGCTCTGAAGGATCCTTTTCACTACTGTTTGGTCTTGGAAAGGGATCAGAAGTAGGCAAAAAGACAGGGCATGATAAAGTATTATGAGTGATAACGCTGCTCCAGAGGTGGCATGATGCATGACAGAAGTCCCTCTCAGGTTCAAGGGATAGGAGGTAGAAGAAACTCTTACCACTTTCTTCCCTGGGCCTGGAAATTAATGGAGCTCCTGAGCCCAAAGCTCAAGGGATGATCAATAAACCAGAGCGTGGCATGCACAACAATGAGCCACAAATGTTGTATTAGTTGTGAGTGGTCTTCATCTTTCTCTCTGTCCTGACAACTTGTCAAAGATTGTATTACTTGTGGCAGTCTTCCTTCCACTCAGTACCAGGAGTGGCTACTCTGGAGGTCACGAAGAAGTAAGTCAATTTCTCCATGACTGATTAGAGTAAAATAGCGTGACTCCGCTTTTGCATCATCCCAACTTTCTGTATTTTTCCAGTTAGCACAAAAAATCCTATACTCTTAAGGCCTTTGCCTGAGTCCTTTCTCACTCAAGACTCTAGGGCCCTTCCACAGGAATCTTGGTTCTTTTCAGAGGGAACTGGCAGTGTCACTCCTATCACATAGTGCTCTTGGGGGGTCAACTCTGCCTCTCTCTTGCAAAGCTGCTGTATGCTCTAACTCAGTGGTTCTCAACCTTCCTCATGCCGCGACCCTTTCATACAGTTCTTCATGTTGTGGTGACCCCCAACCAGAAAATTATTTTCATTGCTACTTCATAACTGTCATTTTGCTACTGTTATGAATCGGGCAACCCCTGTGAAAGGGTCGTTTGATCCCCAAAGGGGGTCGCAACCCACAGGTTGAGAATTGCTGGTCTAACTGATCTCTTCAGAGTGGCGTATACCATGAACTTGAAGTAGCAAACGTAATTTTCTAAAAAGGCATGTCAGAACCATAATAAGCAGAGCCTGCCAGAAGTCTGGCAATCGGGGGCACAAATCCTGGTCCAGAAGCTGGATTGGGCTAAACAAAAGGTAGGACTTAAAATGATCCCAGAAGCCTTGGGTCACAGAATGGGAAGGTGGGGAGGAGGGTATTTCTTCTGAAAAGTATAAGCTCAACAAAGGAGTGTTTGGTTTGGCCCCACTTAGCATTTCTTGTTTTTCCCAAGACCTCTTCCTCAAAATGTCTCCTCTCCCGGTCACTCTGGAACAGACTGCACAGGAATCTGCTGGTCTTCTCTCCTCTGCCTTAGGGCTTTCATACACTCCTTCCTGCCCCTTCTCTTGCCCACTGCAATCACCACCTCCAGCATTCTCCTTTCTCCCCACAGGAAACCGCAAAGACCAGCTGGCCTGAGATCTCCAATAACTAGCCTGTCTGCCAAGTCCCAGAAGGGAAGAGAGTAACGGACAGGGGAGCAGAGGGAAAGGGCACCTAGTGGGCAGATGCTGGAGGCTGTGAAGAGAGATGACCTGCAGGTGGTGCTCAGGGCAAGGCTGGGACTAGCTGGGTCTGATTTTGCTTAGGAAAAGTATGAAACTGGAAGCTGGGTGCCTGGAGAGACTGACACATCTATTTGTAACCTAGCTGACACCTGGGATTCCTGCTCAAGATACTGAATGCTCCAGCTATGTAAAGCTGACTTTCTAGAAAAGATTAAACTTTTTTTCTTGCTTTAAACTTATGCCTATTTCCCTCTCTGGGTAGTTACAGCTTGAGCTTCATCATGTTTTGTTCCCCGACTTAGAAACACAGACAGCTGCCTGTTTTCTATTTCCTCACTCCTGCACATGGGCTGGCAAGAAGGCAAAAAGAATCCGGGAGCCTAATGACGAGACCAACAGAAAAGGAATCCAAAAGAGACACCATAAACAAATTCAGAAGGAAATAACAGATGAGGTAAAATATTTGGGCTACCTTGAGAGAGAATATTTTGTTAATACTACCTCAGACTAAAAGTTGATATCCCTAAAATACGTAGAGCTCCTATAAACTGCTAAGAAAAACAAAAACAGCTCAATTTTTTAAAATGGGCAGAGAGGAAACTCAAATGTCAAATGTTTAGAGAAATAAAAATAATATACCAGTTTTTACACACCAAATTGGCATAAATAAAGAACAATGGTGATATTCCATGCTGGTGCTAGGTGGAGAAAGGCACTTTCTCACACACTGTCAGTGTGAGGGTCAAATGGTGTAACCTTTTGGGAAGACAACCTGGTAGGACCTATGAACATGTAACATGCATGTAGCATTCAATCCGGAACCCCAAGTATGGGAATCTGTTGTACAAAGTGAAAATTAGTAAGTAAGGACACATGAACAAGGATGCTTATTTTAGCATTATTTATAACAGCTCCCAATTGGAGCTATGATTGAATATTACATCTGTACTATGGGAATTATACTTAAAAGAATAAATCAGATGGATAATTATATCAGGTACATCTAAGTTATTATTATCAAGTGAAAAATGCATGGCATTCAATTCTATTTCTAATGTCTTTTTAAAAGAAAGGGTATACTTGCATATATTTATATATGAAAGGACTTGTGGAAAAACTCCATTAACTTTCAATTCCATTTTCCCATAATTTTGTGAAGACCGTCTATCACATCAGGGTGTTAACACTATCTCAGGTAGAGGGAGAAACACTCAGAAATATAAAGGAAAGGCTAATAACTTTTATTTTAGACATCTCTTTATTTTGTCTGCTTCCAATAAGCATGCATATTTTTAAAATATCTTTAAAAATAAAGCCAATATAAATAGTGACCGGGGTCTTAAAAGCTCATGAACAGCCGTCTTAGGTGCAACTACTGGTGTCTTCCCATTGGAGGAAAGAAGGTTGATGAAAATTGATAGATATATGGAAAAGATTAGTCCAATGGACAAATGAATCATGGAAACATCAGTCTCTACAACTATGAGACCATCCAGAAGAACTGGATGTTGCCTGGCTATTACTACAAACTGCTCTGAAAAGGATCACATTAGATGGGTTCTGGACAGAGTGGGAGGAAAATGTGGAATAGAATTCAAAATCATCAAAGAGAACAGGCTGATAGAGACTGGTGGGAGATCCGAGACTATGGCCCTTAGTCATCCCCGTCAGGTCTGGAACTGAACTCAACCCTGTTTTTGAATACTCAAGTTTTTAAGATCAAAAGAACTGCTTTTACCCAAGGACAAGTTCAGAGAGTTAGTAAAGAATGAGGAATGAAAATGGGAAATGGGATTGATGATGATACATTGAGGGAATTGCAATGGATAAATTGAAACAAAATGTGTATGAAGCATTGAATACAAAATTAATGATCTGCTCTGTAAACCTTCACTTAACTTCAGAATAAAAAGTTAAAAAACAAAGCCAAATCAACAAAACCTCCAAGAACCTCACACCCTGAGCTCTCCAGGGCCCCAGCCCTCCAAGCCTCCAAGGGTTGGTTAGAGGAACTAGAGCAGAACCCCAGGGAAACCTCCCTTCCTTCCCGTGCAAAACAACCTTACTCAGTTAGCACAGTGAGTAGTCAATAACAATCATTTCTACTCTAAAGGAAAGAGATGGCTAGAAAAAACCCTTTTTTTTTCTTTTTAAAAATAGTTTTATTGGCATATACTTCACATATTATACAATTTAATTCTTCAATAATATTAAGATTTGTACAATCGTCATCACAATAAATTCCAGGACATTTTCTTGTCATATACATTGTTAGCTCCTCCCCCCACCCTTCATCCTCTCCTGCCATGCCTATATCAAGTTAATGTCTCTATAGATCTACCTAGATTTTTAAAAAATTGTTTTACTGGGGGCTCATACAACTCTTATGACAATCCATACATCCATCCATTGTGTCAAGCACATTTGTACATTTGTTGCCCTCATTCTCAAGCTTTCTACTTGAGCCTTTGGTATCAGCTCCTCATTTTTGCCCCTCCCGGAAAAAAACTTCTTAGTATCACTAGCTCATTGCCTTCGGCCTGGCCCCTCCTCTCCTCCCAAAGAGGCAGGGAATGAACTGCTGTGATCATCCAAGTAAAGCCTGAGCTCTTACCTATGAGTGCATAGGACAGGAACTTGTTGACAGAGGTGAGCGCCAGTCCAGTGATAGGGCCAGTGGTATCTTCAGAGCGAATCACTTCCAGGAATGGACGAAGGAACACATTGGGCTCAATTTCTGAGAGTTCTGCAAGAAAAGACAACAGCAACGAAGAGATGTCATCTGACCAAAAAACTAATCCCTAAACCAAAAACTGAATCTTAGAAAAAGGCCCTGCTTGTTTGAGCTATGAGGCTAGAAGCCTCGGTTAATCTCTTTCCCTTTGGATTGCCTTGAATCAAGTCCCAGACACTGTTATTATTTTATGTGAACATTTTATTTGTATGCCGCTTTTAAAGACAAGGAAGTCTTGATGTAAAGCTCTCCTTTACACGCAAAAAATAAATAAATAAAAATAAAGACAAAGAAGTTTAAAGCAAACCAAAGATCAAACCCATATATAAAAAACCCAACAAACAACAATTGTACAACACTGTTATTATCAATGTTTTAACATATTATTTACTATCACTAAATACTGTCAGTCAGTTTTCCATGTCCATTTCAGGAGGATATGCTCACATCCCTATCCTCTCCAGTGACACGTTAAGCTGCATCTTCTCCCCTATTGGGTACCACCAGTGGGGCCACAGAGGTCTTCATGTCTTGCTGTCATGGAAGGTTACTGCTCTTAGAGGAAGAACATAACATATATAACAGGAGGGGTGGGGAAAATCTTGGGGCTTATGGTCCCTTGTTAAAAACTGTACAGCCCTTTATCCATAAAGGGATTTTGTAATCTTGGAAGGTCCTAATCATTTTCCAGTTCCACTTCCTGCCTAGAGCAAGCACAGAGTTACTTGCCCCGAGGAAAAGAGGTAATTCATACCTATTTTACGGATGAAGAAAATAAAGTCAGATAAGATACATGACTGGTTAATAAGAGGCAAGAGCTGCCCACACTATATGATTCTAAAACTTGTAAAACCTCTACATCCATTTTACCTAATTGCCAACACACACTGCTGAATTTCACTCCAGGTCTATGAATCCTAGACCAGGGATGACTGTGTTTCTAGAGTCTGCTGTGTGTTCTTTTTCAGAGACCCAACTCCTAACCAACCCAAACCCACTGCCACGGAGTCCATTCCCATTCATAGAGACTCTAAGGAACAGAGTGAACTTGCCTCTCCTACAGGGTTTCCAAGGCTATCTGTGTTGATGACTGCACCGGTTTCTTCTGCACAGCAGCTAGTGGGTTCAAACTCTCGATCTTTTGTTAGTAGCCAAGTGCTTTACCCATTGGGCCACCAGTGCTCCCCCAGCTCCTTAAGTATGGTCCTACCACCACTGAGTTGATTCTGACTCATAGCGACCTTAGAGACAGAGTAGAACTGCCCCTGTGGGATTCTGAGACTGTTAACAATTTATAGGAGTAGAAGGCCTTGACTTTATGCTGAGGAATAGCTGGCGCTTTTGAACTGCTGACACAGCTCCCTCAGAGGCTCCCTAAATAGTCCAGAAAGAATTATGGCTCTGATCAAGCTATCCCACCTTTATAGACAAAAGGAAGCTGGGTTTCCAAAACATGTTCATTTTCATGCAAATTCAGAGAGCTGCCTACTCAATTCTTACCACCTCCCTCTCAGGGTAAACATTCCCTGAGCCCGGCTGCACATCAGATTAATGCTTTAATTAATTGGCAGATTGGGTAGCATTTTCCAAGCTTGTCTATATTGTGATCACATCAGCTGTATAAAACCTGCTTCTCATCCCCCAGCGACTCCCACCTAGAGATGTACAATTTGCAGGAAAAACCTGGAGAAAAACCTTTGTATGTGCATAGGGGATAGAGGGGCAGATGGAGGTTGAGATGTAAAGAAGAGAAAGATTTAATGAAAACAGAATGTATAAAATATTTAAACAATGTAAAGTTATACAGTCTTGCTGCTTGCTTTAAGAACAACAAAATTATGTATCATTTTGTATGTCATTCTATAAAATGGTCATGTTTCAAATATTTTACGATGTAAAAATCTAGGTGGTAAACAAAAATCGTTGTTTTGGGGTAGGGCAAGGAATTGATTTTCTGAGTTTTCACTGAGTCCCCACAACTATACTTGCTTCCTGTCTTCCTTCGTGGTGAAAGGGTGTAATTACAACCAGGGTCAACATCACCTCTACCTCCTTTTTTAAACCAACAATGACTGCTAACCAAAACGTATGTGGTTCAAACTGTTCTGCAGGAGAAAGTTGAAGCTGTCTACTCTCATAGAGATTTACAGGGTTCCTATGAATTGGAAATGACGCGATGGTCTATGATGAGCTGATGATCTATGGAAACTGGAAGGGATGGAATAATGGTACATAAAGCTAACTTTCCCAAGAGTTTGGTCTAGGCAAAAATGAAGCTTGCTTTCTAGGCTCAGCTGCTGGTTTTCAGGAACAGCAGAGGCACTCTGACAAAACAACTATGGTTTGGGGTTGGGGTGCTCCTAGAAGGGCAACACTAGCAAGGCCATTTCTAATATGAGGTCTCTGTCTCTGTAAACTAGTCCTGGTGGCTCTGTAGGTTAGGTGTATGGCTGCTCGCCACAAGGTCAGCAGTTCAAACCCACCAGCCACTCATCAGGGGACAGATGCAGCTGTGTGTGGTTGTTGTTAGGTGAGCAACACAGGGATTCACAGATGACATTTTCCTAGATGACCCACTGCCACGAGTCAGTTCCTTCTCAGAACAACCCTAGAAGTCAGAGTAGAGTTGCTCCATAGGGTCTTTGAGGCTATAACTCTTTGTGGGAAAATACTGCCTTATTTTCTCTAGTAGAGAGGCTGGTGGGTTCGAACCGCTGACCTATTTGGTCAGTAACCCAACACCTTATCCGCTGCACTACAAGGGCTCCAGTTTTTAGACAGCGCTCTATAAAAAGAAGTCCTAATTATCAATCAATCATCTAGAAAATTCTCTATGCCCTGGGATATTATAGTTAATACAATCCCTAAAAATAATTTACAAATGAGATAACTAAGGTTTAGGGAGGTTAAGTCATTTGTATAATGCCACATAACCAGGCTGCGTTGAAATCAGAACTATAAGTTATGGGTACCAGGTAAAAACATGGACTTTAAAGTAAGCTTAAAAATCCCAGTTCTGTAACTTAGTAGCTGTGTGACCTGAGCTACTACACTTTCCTAAGTTTTTATCACCTGTAATATGGACATTAGATAAGTACAATAAATTAAATTGAAAATAAATATTAACAACTACATTTATTATGTATGCATATACACAAGGGAGTTTCGGAAAATTCATGGAAAAATATAATTAGGAGATAATGGAAGCCCTTCCTATGTGTTATGGACCGTGTGAAGCCCTTTACAGAGTAAATCTCCTTTAATGCATGTAAACACTTGGTACAATGCATGAAATATATGTAAAATAAGGAGCTAGTTTTTTAGCTCTGGAGCCCCAGTTCAGTTTCTTTCTTAAGATTTAAGAAAGAATAGAAAAATTCACAGGTAGGTCTTCTACTTAGATTCTTTAAATTTTAGAGTTTAAAAGTTAAGGATAAATGCCAAGATAACTGGTAGTTGATATAGATGATGCCATTTGCAATACCTCTTGATTTCTGGGAGCTTTAGGTTTCTCCAAAGTATGTGAGTGTCAGAGGAAGGAACAGATTTCCTTTTAAAAATGAATGATTGAAATAACCATTATCCATTAGATGATAGGAGCAACCATTTATTATTTTGCACAATGCTGTGTGCTAATCACTATACATACCTTCTCTCCTCACGATTAAGATCATACAACTCGCAAATGATGGAAGACAAATTCAAGTCCATCTGACTCCAAAAGCTGTGCTTCTAGCCATGCAAGACACTACTGGTTCCACTAAAGCCAGGGCAGAAAGAGGTGTGGTGTATTACACCTCCCAGCTCGGCCTCCAGAAAACTGAGACCAATTGTCTGGATCGCCTTCAGAAGAGCAAAAAGAGCCGTCGGAACTCTCCAGGGGGAGGTGCCCTGATACTGCCCATAGTAAGCAGGCTGAGTAGTTTCACAACCAAGGAGATAGCTGACACCCTAGTCAAGCAGCCAAAATTCCCACCCTGGAAGGTTATCAACCTCAAGGCACAAACAGTACAGTAAACAGAGAGTGCAGATCAGGTAGAGGGGTGCTCTGAAGGTGACTGGTTCATGTTCTACGACAGGAAGAAAAAAGAAAGAAAAGAAGGGATAGCTAGATAGAGAAAAGAATGGGTATACAAAGAAGGGAAATTCCACCCCCTCCTGGGGAAAGAGCACTTGGGATCCTTCTAGGACAAGGTCACCTGCTTCTAAAATCATATTCAGGCCTACCTCCTGATCAATCAGTGATGGCTAACAATTAAAAGATTTCTGGAGATGCCCTTGGGTCACTTCAAGCCCAAGAAAAATGAAGTCTTTTGGAGATGTTTTGGCAGTGTTCTGCACATACTCTTGTCCACCACCCATGAGTGTCCACGCCCTGTAACAGTAAAACAGATGTCGTAGTCTGAGAACCTACAGAAGCTCCCTGAGTCTCCTAATTTTCAGATGATGAGGGACCTGTTCAAAAGAAGGATGGAACCTGGCGCACTGTTTTCTTTTCTCCTGGTGGGACTTCCACCCTCTCTGACAATTTCTGTCTAAGGCTGCCCCGTGTGGCTTCAAGCACTGCCTTGACAGATGGAACACCCTCCTCCTGTCCGACAGGGAAAGAACCACCATCCTTCCAGAAAGCTGTGTTCTCCTGTCCACAGCAGCTTTTTCTCATTTGGCCGCATTGGGCTGGCACATTCCTGAACCAAAATGCACACATAAGCTGCTTTCTCCGGTAGTGAAGCTCTTCACTCCTGAGTGACTCTTATCAGGGACGGTTGGGCATTCTCAATTAGATTACGCTGACAAGGAAAAAGGCCTATAGTATATTATTTCAACACCATTTGACTTCAGAAATGCCAGTCTCGACCCTTTTGCCCTCAGAGCCTATTTTTCCCTTCTTGCTTTCTAGAGGTTCATCAGCCAGCACCACCAGCACACCAACCTTGCGCCCAATCCTAGCTCTTTTTTCTGTTAATATTGGCCCATGTTCCTGGAGACGGAATGTCATCATTCACAGGAGG